ACTGCACCTTCTCCGCCGCCGCGTTGGCGGCCATCGGGTGGCAGACTTGGCAGACCTCCTGCGCGGTCTTTTTGGGCTTTCTGCAAACCCTGCAGGAGTACGAATACGCACGGGGCGGCTGCGGCGGCGGCGGCTGGGACGGCAGGCGGATGTGGATCACCGAGCCGGGCATGCAGCCGGCTGGGATGCAGGCGTGCATCAGTCCCATGGGGGTGGTGATCGGAAGGAGCTGCCCCGGGCGGTACCCTCGCGGGACGGTCACCGCACGACAGCCGGCGGCAGGCGGAGGGGCGGGCGGCGGAGCGGCCAGCGGGCCGGGTGGTGTGGCCAGCGGGCCAAGCGGAGGGGCGGGCGGGCTGGGCGGAGGGGCGGCAGGCGGAGGGCCCGGCGGCGCAGTCGGCGACTCGGCAGAGCCGCCAGACCGCACCAACGCGCGCCACCGCTCGCGCGCCTCCGCCTCCAGCGAGCACAGTTGTCGCAGAGCGAATGCGTACTCCGTCGTCTGCTGGCGCACGAACTCTGTTGAGAAGGCGGGCGTGGGGAAGAGGGACGGCGCTGGGGAGTCTGGCGCGGAGAAGCGAGGCCCGGCTGCGGGGTCGGGGTCGGCGGCGGCTGTGAGGCCGACGTCGGAGAGCGTCACGGGTGCGTCCTTCTGCCCGCGGGACGGCTGCGCCTCGAGCCAGAGCCGCACGACGGCGCGGATGGCGATCTGCACCTCCTCGGGCGGACGAGTTGCGAGCTCCGGCTCGGTGAGCCAGTACGAGCTCGCCCCGAACTGGCCGGGGCCGAGCCGGAGGACACCTACCGTGGCACACCGCTCCGTCTGCGCCGCCGGGCTCACGGGGCGGCGGGCGCGCGCGTAAGTGTCCGCTGGCGGCGCGCCGGCGACCAGAGCGCGCAGCTGCGACGACGACCAGCCACCTTGCGGAATCCCACTCTCGTCCACCCAATCATCGCTGCCCGAGCCATCGGAAGCCTCCGCCTCCGCCACCGTCTCAACCTCCATCGCCTCTGCCTCCTCCGCCTGCGCCTGCGCCCGCGCCCCTGCCGCCGCCCCCACCGCCCCAACCGCCCCCGCCACCTCAACTGCCGGCTCTGCCCCCTCCTCCGCCGGCCCTGCCTCCTCCTCTGCCGCCTCCGCCGCCTCTGCCCTCGACTCCGCCTCCCCCGGCTCGCTGTCGGGCGGCGGCGGCGGCGCGGCAGCGGCGGCGGCGGTGTCGCCGGCCTCGAACTCCTCGCGGTCGCGGTGCACGCTCGGCACGGGCGAGCTGTGCACGCTCGACGTGGAAGGGTGGGAGGGGCTCGTGGAGGAGTTGGGCGCGGGCGCGACGCGACGCGGCGGCGGCGGCGGCGGCGGCGGCGGCTGCTGCTGCTGCTGCTGCTGCTGCTGCTGCTGCTGCTGCTGCTGCTGCTGCTGCTGCTGCTGCTGCTGCTGCTGCAAGAGCTGCTGCTGCGTCGGCGTCTGCTGTATAAACTGCTGCTGCTGTTGCGCCGCCTGATGCAGAGCCTGCTGCTGTAGCAAGGCGTGTTGCTGCTGCTGCTGCTGCTGCTGCGGCTGCGGCTGCGGCTGCGGCTGCTGCGGCTGCTGCAGCTGCGGTGGCTGGGGCTGCGAGAGTGGTGCGGCCACTGCTCTCGGCACGGGCGGTGGCTGCCACTGCTGCGGCGGCGGGGGCTGCGAGTGTGGTGCGGTGATGGGCTGCAGCGTCTTGCCCACGCGGAAGGCGACCATGCTCCCCGGAGGGTGGGGGAGCGAGGCGAGGCCGGGGAGCTGCGCGCTCGTCACGTCGCGGAGGATGACGAGCTTCGGGCCCGCGGAGCCGGCGGTCTGGTTGACGACGCGGTGGGCGGGCCACTTGGACGTGCTGCTCGGCCCGTTCCACACCCCGCTCGCGTGCAGGTTCGCGGGCACCGTCTCGCCGACCGCCACCCGCACGCGCAACGAGGAGATGAGGAGCCCCTTCTTCTGGCAGTTTGGGCAAAAGTGCTGCCGAAAGGCGGGCGACTTTGCCTCCACAAGCTCGCACTGGGTGGTACCGCCCGAGAGCGCCTGTCCCCAGCACACAGCGGGTGGCTTTCGCTTGCGCGGGTTGATCACGCTCAAAGCCTGCGCCGCGGGCGGCGCCGGTGGCGCCGCCGGAGGTTCTGGCAGGTCCGGCAGGCCGAGGGCGAGATTGCGCATCGCGTAGTGCGTGGCCGCCTCCGCCGCCGGCTTCTCCGCCGCCTTCTCCGCCGCCTCTGCCGTCTCCGCCGCCACCGCCTCCGCCCTCGCCCCCGCCTCCGCCCTCGCCGCCGGGGTGGGAACTAAAGGTCGTGCTCGTGGCCGCGCCGGATCGACCGCCGCCGGCTCTCGGGGGGAGCAGGCGGCGTCGGACGACGAGTCGAAGGAGGCGGTCGAGGAGAGGCGCGACAGGGAGGCGGCCGAGGAGGACCGTGCAACGGAGCCCAAACTGCCGCGCCTGCGAGACGGCTCCGCGTAGGTCAGGTCAACTTCATGTGCACGAGAGGAGGGAGGGGGGGGGGCGGCGTCGGCACGCCTCTGCACCCGCGGCACCTTGGCTGTCGGCGCCAAGACTGCCGCCTGAGCGAGGCAGGAGCGAGCCAGGCTGAGAGAGAGGAGCAGGACGGGGCAGAGCGCCTCGGACAGGCCGGGATGCAAGCAGCAGCGCACCGGCTCGGTCGTGGTTGAAGCAAGCGGCGGCGGCGGCGCCGCAGCGGAGCCGCCGACCGTCCGACCGCCGCTCGAGCGAGGCGACCCGAGTCGAGCTGGCTGACTGAAGGCCAAAGTCGGGGCGGAACGCGGGGCGGGGCGCGCGTATAGGTCGTGCGCGTCGTGAGCCAACGATGCGAGCGCCGTCGGTGGGTTGAAATGCCCGGGCGGCGGCGTCGTCGGCAACTGCCATTCCGGGACTTCGGACGCCATCGTTCCCGCACAATGTCACGCCTGCGTGCAGCAAGTTAGTAGCAAAGGCACCGCCGCCTGCTCGCTGCTCGCATCTGCGGGCGCGGCCGCGGGTGAGCTCAGCGCGGCGAGAGCTCGTGAAGCTGGCGGATGCAGCGACGAGGCTGCCATCGCAGCGCCGCCGCTGCATCCTACCTGTGAGCCGCTGCTGCAGCGCCGCCGTAGCAGACGAAGCCGAAGTGCGCCGCTGGCAGTGCATGAAGTCGAGAGTGCGGTGCAGCGGCGGAAGCGGTGGCGGACGCTGGTAGACTGCCGCCGCCGCCGCTCTCACGCCGAGCTGCATACGCCTCAGCGCACAGCGGCGGCCGCTCGCGAGAGCCACAAAGCAGAGCGCCGCAGATATACACAGAGAAAAAAGAATTTAAACACCAATCCGGAAAGGTTGGCTCGCCCGCCGGGTTCGACGCCGTGACGTGCCGTGACTAACCTTCTTTTCTTTTTTTCAAATCTTCAAGCCCCCCTCCGAGACAGAACCCATAGATACATACGTCAAAGGGACTGCCCCCCGCCCCCACTTGACTGCACAGGATAGCAGCGTGCCCCGATAACGCGACACACAGCGGGGGACACCACGCAAGGAGAGGGGTGCGAAGGCAAGGTTGGGTTTCGACGCCGTGACGAAATCTAAATAAAATATTTTCCGCTTCAAGCCCTCCTCCTCAGGGCACACAGCACAGCGGGGGGGACACTGCGCAAGGAGAGGGGTGCGAAGGCAAGGTTGGGGTGCTAGGTGGTGGGACCATGAGGGGGGGGTCCTGTGGGGGTGAAATGTTGCGCGGCGAATTCGAACTACCCCCTCGCCGCCGGCTCACGCGGAGGGTAAAGACCCTGTGGGAGAAACCCACCCCGCGGTGTCGGCAGTATTCAGAATGGACCCCCCCCCCCTCCGGTCCCCAGCTTCCCTGGTGTTTTTCCCCCCCCCCCCCCCCCCCCGCTCCCCATTGGTGACTCGCGAAGGACACGGACACTCGGGGTGAGTGAGGAGGGGTCCCCCCGGAGGGGGCTTTGGAGGTCGATCTCGGGTCGATCTCGGGCCAATCTCGGGTCGATCGCGGGTCAATCTCGGCGGCGATGGCGGACAGCAGCGCGCCTGGCGCGCAGGCAGTGCCGTCGGATGGCACGGCTGGTCGGCTGCGTCCACCCGCAGCCGGGGTGCGCGCTCGCCCCCTGGTGCCGCGTCGTCGCCGCTCACGAACGCCATCCTGAAGCGCCCTGCCGACTGGCCAGCCGGCGAGCACGAGCGCAGCTTCTCGATCCCGCGGCGCAGCGCCGCGGATGGAGGCCCTCGGGTCGGTGGAAAAGGACCCAGGCGCGTCCGCCTCGACCCGCACCGCTGAGGCGCCAGCAGTTGCGGCGCGGCAGACTCGCGCCAATGCGGCGCAGATCGCCTTGGAGCCCACCGCGCTCTCAAATCGCCTCGAGACAATGCTCCTCGGCAACCATCCCGTCCCTGCACCTTCCAACGAGGTGAGCGTCGCCTGCCCAGTGGGCCCAGGGATGGCGGTGGCGAGTCACTCCGGAGCAGAATAGAGGTGCGCACGAGGCAGGTGGCACAGCACGGCCCACCCCCTTCCACCCCCCCTCGCCCTTCGCAGCCTCTCCCCCCCCTTCCCCTTCCCACTGCGCTCTGTTGGTTTCTCTGTCCATCTACAGCGTGGGTGGTGGTACACTGCGTCGAGACAGCTCCGCCCCGCGCTCTGCCTTCCTGGAATACTTACGAATACCCAGCGCGGAATACAATACGTAATTAATTAATGAATTAACTAATTAGGTTAGGACGTGGAATACTGTACTCGAGGTCAACTCATATCCCTCCAGGTTACCCCAGATGAATAACTAAATCTCGCTGCGCTGTGCGAAAAAGAAAGAAAGAAAACGGACAACCCAAGGGAGGGATGGGAGGACGGCACGCCGGCACCACACAGGGATTTTAAGGAGAGGGGTGTGGTGCGCTAGCCGTCGCCCACCCTTGGGCGTCCGCCTCTTCCTATCTCTCTTCGCTGCGCTGTGCGGGATGGTTTCGGCACGAGAGAATTCTTTTATGCCCATCAGCATTGGGTGCGGGCGCCGGCAGGTAGAAGCCGATAGAGCAGCTCTACAACCGTGACCCCGTCCATCCGCGATCCTCGACGGCAACACACGCTCACTGTGCAAGGTGCCCATCGTCCGGATTGGCGCGGACGACGTTCACGCCGCCGCCTCGAGCGCTATGACGGTGGTACGGCCGCAGTCTCTGGACGCGGCCTCTGGGCGTTGTGACGCCGGCTGGCGCGAGTCGCTGTTCTCCGGCGCCTGCCGCTTCAAGCTGGCGGCAAATCCACGACACGTCCACGACACGTCCACGACACGTCCCCCAGGCGCGTACCGCTCCAACCGGGAGTGGTGGTCCGACAACCTGGCGTGGCAAGAGGGCTGGCCGCTCAACGCCTCTGCGCCGCCGGTGTACGAGCGGAGGTGCGAGCGCGCGGGCGGCTGGCGCGTGCTGCGTCTCGGTGGGGGCCCTACGTGGCGGGGCGCCGCCTTCCGCGACTCTTCTCGGAGCCTTCCTGCAGGCGCGTGCTGCGGATCGGTCCCTTTGCGTCGCGCGGCGCAGGCACCAAGCACGCGATCGGGATGGAGAATGTGGTTGCGGCGGGCGAGTGCGTCGCTGCGAGCCTCCTCTCCCCCGTCACAGAGGCGGGCGAGCTGGTCGGGGAGCCTCCGATCGGCGTCCACCATGTGCACGTCCTCTCGCACACCTCGATCATGCAAGACGTCAAGGCGCAGGCTGGCTGCTCATAATGAAGTGATAATTACTAGTTCGTGACCTCGACCGCTCCTCAAGGCGTGGGGCTTCCCCCTCCTCGACCGACACGGCCGCCGCTTCCACTACCACCCCCAGTGGGCGGACCACCGGCACGGAGGGCAGTGCGACGCCGCGCGCGGAGGCGTCGCGCGCACGACCCCGCTCCCCAGCCCTCCGCATCTCTTCTCCTGAACGCTGCGCGCCGTCCTCTCCCAGGCGTCGCGTGCATGAACCGCTCTTATCCCGCCGGGTACGGGCAGCGCTACACCGAGGCTGCCCACGTCGACCTCGAGCTCGTCGAGTCTCCGGTGGAGTCGCTGCAGGCGCTGCCTCTGGTACTAGTCCTCTGGTACTAGTCCTCTGGTCGGAGATGAGCTTCTGTCAACCTCGAGACCTCGAGACCTCGAGACCAGTCTCGAGACCACGCGAGGGTAGGTGCCGCCGCGCTTCTGGTGGGAGATGAGCTTCCAGGCGTGCCCGCCGCCGGCCGCTGCTCAGCCGGCGGCGGCCGAGGTGGCCTTCCGCGAAACTTCTGGGAGCCTTCCCAAGGAGGGGAGGCCGGAGGCAGCGAGGGGCGAGGGGAGTGCCGCCCAGCCTCCGGCGCCGCTCCGCCACCTCGCTCCCCCTGCTCGACCCTTCCAGGAGTGGTCTAGCAACCTTCCGCGTAGGCGCCGCTCCGCTATCTCGCTCCGTACGTGTGGGCGTCGCCTTTCGACATGCGGCTCTGCGCGCTGTTCGGCACCCTGCCCGCTCAACTTCACCTTCTGCAGAGGCGGGACACGTCCGGGACACGTCCAGGACATGCGCCCCCCCACAGGCACTTGCCCGCTCAACTTCACCTTCCACGTGCCGGAGAACGCCACGTCGGCGCTCTGGTACTCGGTGCGGCATCGCGAGAGCGGGAGGCTCCTCTCCTTCGACCTGCACACGCACGAGCACCTCGTCACCGCCTTCATCTTCTCCGGCCGGCCAGAGTCCGTCGGCCTCAACTCTGGCGGCTGGCGGCTGTCGCAGCCGTGGCTGCCGCTCGCCGTCCCGCCGGCGTCGCTGCCGGGGAGCATCGCGGAGTTTGGTGAGAAGGTGGCGGCGGCCAGCCCGACGGCCTGCACCTACCAGCCCACCGTCGAGGTGGTCTCCGGCGCGAGGTTCGTCCGCCGAGGCTACCCCCGCTGCAATGGCACGGCGGGCTCGTCCTTTGCCGTCGCCGAGGGCGAGTACACCACCGTCCTCGGCTTCTTCGACACGCGGCCGAGCGCCTCTCTGCCAAAGCGGGTCGAGCGCTTTCAGCACTTCGGGTGCGTCTCACGGCCCCTTGATTGGCTCATGCGCAAGCCGCAAGCCGGTAGGTCGAGTACTTCCAGCACCTCAGCCTGATGGGCCTGTGGACGCTGGACAGCGGCATGCCGCCTCCCCTCGACGCCCGCCTCGGCGCTGACCAGCCGGTGTGGGACGAGCCGACCTTAATTAACTATGAATTAACTATTAGTTAATTAATTAGGCGCTGACCAGCCGGTGTGGGACGAGCCGCGGGGGGAGCTCCGCGACTGGGACGTCTTCCGGGGCTTCGTCGCCGGCGGGCTCGGCGTCACCTCCGAGCACGCCCCTGCCGTCACGCTCGCTTGCGCCGCCGCGATCGCCGCGGGGGCAGCTTTCTTCTACTTGGTTGCCGTTGCCTGCCGTCTGGCGGCGAGTCCCGCGCGCGGGCGGGCCAGGCGGGCCAGGAGGCAGTACGTTGCGGTCGCCGGCGCTGCTCCTGTCGCCCCTCCTGCTGCTCCTGCGGCAGCTGCTGCAACCGCTGTCCTGATGCTGCCCCTGCCCGCTGCTCCGGTGTGCTCAGCAGCGTACGAGGGCTGACGTCGTTCGGTCTGCTGTTCGGCGGCTCCCGGCGATGCTACACCGCACCTGTAAGCGCCGCCGCGCCCAGCGCTGCTGCGCTCGCGGATCGCGGCGACGGTGCAAAGAGGCACCTCTTTCCCGATGTCTGTGCTCCCCGTACGGGGAGCGGTACCGAGACCGTCTGGGGAGTACATTGGCCCTGCTTGATGTGTCGGCTGTCATAGTCGTTGTTCGTACCAACGTACGTCACTGTGGAGTGTCACAACCCCGAGTGTGGAGAGAGCGACGTGTTTGGAGGAAGTCTGTGGGTCTCTGGAAAATCACGCATCACATGGTACTTGGCTCTCTCTTGACGGGACTCGGGAGACTGTGGTGGTACCGCACTCGCCACTCGTGCCGGCGGCGACAGTGTACGCCAACGCTCGCTCACAAATCACAAAACACATATCGCCGCGCGCGCCCTCACGGCTTCTTGCTCTCGATGAGCTCGGCGCCCTCCTTCTCCGCTTGAGTGAGCAGCTTGCCCTTGTCTGCAATCTCTTTCCGCTCCGAGTACCTACACGAAGGCCATGGAATGGGCGTGTCGTGGACGTGTCACCAGCAGGTGCCCTCTGCAGCTGTCCGAGGCGAGATGCCGATCGACGAGGAAGTCGGCGTGCTCGCGCCTAATCTCGGGCGATCTCGGGTCATCTCGCGGTCATCTCGCGATCGACGGGGAAGTCGGCTCGGCGTTCGCGCATCAGCCGCGTAAACTTAATGTGCTCCTACTAACACGCGATTCACAATGAGGAGATCAACGGATAGGCATCAGCCGCGCACACTGATGTGCTCCTCCATAACGTCCACCACCCGCTCACGGAACGGGCCCGGCTTCATGCGGCCTGCCTCGTCAAATTCCTGCCACGCCTTTGCCACCGAAGACTGGTTGGTGGTGCAGGGCATTCTCATCCAACGCGCGAGCCTGTGGCCGAGATGACGCGAGATCACCCGAGATTGCCCGAGATGCCCCCAGATGAGGCGTCCAATGCGCGAGCCGGCGCAGCTCGTTGACGGCGTTGAAGGACTGCGAGCCGCCGTTCACCTGCAGCAACCTCGACTATCTCTCTCGGCTATCTCTCGGCTATGCCTCGTTAACAAGGTACATGGTTGAAGAAGATTCACGCGATGATTGGGCAGCTCGATGGTCTCTCGGCCACCTCTCGCCTGCAGCACTGCGGCGGTGCGGCCCTGCGTCGGCCGCACGCTTCCTGACGGGCAGCGGAGGACAGGTGAGTACAGCTATAAGTACAGCTACACCGTGAGACAGGTAAGTACAGCTACCACAGGGAGCGCCTCTGTCCTCTCGAGTGCTGCTCGGGGTGGGGTACTCGGGGTGGGGCTACTCGGGGTGGGGCTACTCCTCGGGGTGGGGAGAGTCTGTCCTCTACGTGTGGCTGCCCGTGTTGAGGGGGAGCCAGTCGATCTGGTTCTTGAAGACGCCGGTGATGGTGCCGTGCATCTCGGGCGAGACCCACACGTGCGCCTAGGAGTTGGGCCTAGGAGTTGGGCCAGGCAGTCTGCGGCAGACCGTGGCAATCTCGGGCAACCTCGGGTCATCTCGGCTCTTCTCGCCTCCGACCAGAGCGACAGCGCGCGCAGCTCCTTGACCTTTGGGTGGTCCTCCAGCGACGGGTCGCGCACCGGGAGGCCTACACGGGAGATCGCGGGGATATTTGGGGAGATTGCGGGAGATCTGGCGGCGTCTGGGAGCCGGGAGGCCCTGCGGGCTGAAGACGCGCACGTCGGCGCCCATCGCCTCGAGCAGCCGCGCGCACTCGTGGGCGAGCCGCCTGCAGGGAAGGTTCAGACTGAGGCTTAGAAGGCTCCGAGAAGGTTCCGAGAGAAGGCTCAGTGCCCGGTTCTCTCTCCGGGGCCAGACAGAGGCCCGACTCCGTGTCTGCCTCTCTGGTATCTGGCGCCGGCTGAAGGAGCTCTCGCGCAGGGAGCCGTACAAGACAAGCACGCGAGGCGCGTGCGCCAGCTTGGCACCCGCGGGACGAAAGTCGCGCGCTGCCTCGAGCATGTCGCGAGGGAGCCAGTCGTCGCCAGCGCCAGAACTGGGCAAGTCAAGGCTCGCGCGGTGAGCGAGCCAGCCGCCAGTGCCGTCCGCGTTGGGCTCAAGCGCGTAGCCGCCGTCGAGAGTGTAGGCCGCCTCCTCAGCCGAAGCGCAGCCGAGGCCAGCGCGGGTGGAAACGGCAGCTGTGGCAGACATGGTCACAGCGGGGCGTGCAGAGGGTGGGGCTCGCCGCACGACCACCGCAGCGACGGCCCCGACGAGGAAGAGCGACGCCGTGGCGACCTATCGAAATCGGCCCGACGCTGGTTCGTAGGGGAACTGCGAGCAGCGCGAGGCGAGGATAGCCAAATGGCGACACCGAGACGTCGGCCCCGATCGGCCGGGGTTGGGGCGCCGATGCAGATGTCTGCTCGTTCTCAGCGCAGCGCTCTTGCATTCACACCCGCACAGCACCCTGAGGTATTTTTATGTTCCCCCACCCGGGTGGGGGAATTTTATATTTAGCAATATGAGCCGCCGTCCCCACTCGAACTCGAGTCCGCCGACCGCTATAGATCGAGCGGGGAGGGAGGCGCTGCCTCCGCGGCGGGGACGGAGGCGACACCTCCGTCCCCACCGCCATTGGTTCGAGCGGCAAGCCTTAGGTAGAGCGGGGACGGAGACGTGGAAAAGCGTGCTTGTGAGTGGAAGCCACAAGCGCGCTGGCTCCGGTCGTTTGTAAATGAGGGTGTTTTTCTGTGTGTGTGTTTTCTTGAAGCCTTTCTTAAACTGGGTAACGAACCCCTGTCACTCCGTGAAGTGAACAGAAGAGAGGTGTGAACAGACTGGCGTGCTGATCGTGAAGAGGCGCCATGTCATCGGACACCGAGAGCACGGTCTGCGACCCGCGGTTAGAGGTCGCATCCGAGCCGCAAGTCCCCAAGGGGCCGGGCCAGATAAGGCGCGTGCCCCAGCTGTTCACAGCAACAGCACGGTCTACCCCCGTCGTCCCACCCCAAGTGCAGCAGCTTGGTAGCGGCGGATGGGACGCCAAGAAGAAGGCCGAGTGCCCCAAGTCGCCATTCCTTGGCCGGGCCAGATAAGGCGCGTGCCCCAGCTGTTCACAGCAACAGCACGGTCTACCCCCGTCGTCCCACCCCAAGTGCAGCAGGATGTGAATACCCACCGACACCGGGAACTGTCCGGAGGCTACTCAACTCTCGAGTTGAGGTACGCACACAGGAGAGAGAGAGAGAGAGAGAGAGAGAGAGAGAACGTACACCGGAACTCTGTTCACATAAACTGTGTTCACCTAAACGCACAACCCCGGGCCCCGAAATCGCACAGTGATGACAGTGACATGCAACACGGGGTCCCAGGGAAGGCGAGCAAAACCCTAACTGTGTTCACAGTAGGCACAAGGAAGAGTGGAGAGACACACACACCGCCTCCTATCCATTCCTGGTTGACCTGCCCTCTGGCCGCACCGTCGATGCTCTCCACACACGATGGCAGATTCAAAGCACCCCGCGATGACGCGGCGGCCACGCCCGCGAAGAGCGCTGATTCCCGCGCCAACTGCTCTTGCGTCGTCGACTCGACGACGGTGCCCGCAGCACAACGGCATGCTCCGACTGCTTCTGGAAGCACCAGCTTCCTCTTTCTCCTTGGCTACCCTCACACGGGCACCTCCAGCCTGCACTTTCTCCTCGCGACCAGCGGGTCCGTCAGCACGATTGGCGATTCCGCGGTCCTCGGTCCGTCAAAGGAAGGCATGGCGGCCCTCCCTGCAAAGGCATGGCTGCCTTTGCAAGGCGATCACCGCCCGGCTGGTCGGTGGGAGCCCAGCTTCTGGAGTTCGAATTACTCGGATCTGGTGGAGAGAACCTACCTGAGCCATTGGGACCGCTCAAAGATTTTTATTGAGAGCTCGCCTCCCGAGATCTACCTCTCTCGCGAGCTCCATTCGACCTTCTCCAAACACGGGAAGGTGAGATTCGTTCTGCTGGTCCATGGCATCTGCGGGATGGGGGCGGACCGCTTCTTCGTTGGGGGCAGCGCTCGCCTCCCGATGTGCAGGCGATGCTGCAAAGGAGCGCTTGACAAGCCCTGCATAGACAGCTTCATGTCCGCCTCTTGGGCGCTTGCGCTCGACACGTACCGTAGAGTCATCGCGAGTTTTGGCGATGACGTCTTTGTGATTCGTTACGAGGACTTGTGCCTCCGCTTGAACCGTGTGCTGCGCGACTTGGCCGCATGGGAGCCGCGGTTGGCCGACATCAACGTCTCCCGCAAGCCAATCATTACCGACCACGCCGACGCTCACCACACGACTTCAACCATCGGCGACCACTGCGAATTGGCGGTGCGCCGCTGGCGAGAGCCCATGCCCGCGCTATGCAGTGCGACACCGCCGGCTTGGATGGTGCGGGCGGGGGTGATAAGCATGGCCAATCATACACAGACTACTTTGCACCGGCCGGCCAGCTCGACCTGTGCGTCAATGGCTGCGACGCTCGGGTATGTCTACCGTCCCGGCCAGTTTGATTGCTCCATCACGTCCGAGTAAGCTGGGCACCAGAGTAATCAACCTCTACAAGGGGGAGCGACATCCGTCCTTCCTTATTTTTCTAAATTGGGTCTCATCAGTCATCTCACTCGCAAAAAAGATGTGCGGTCTGTGTCTCTAACTCTATACGAACGTACAATATAGATAGATAATAGAACTTTAGATGCAGCACTGGCTCAGGCCTCAGGAGCTACGGCTCTAGCGTCTAGGTTGTAGTCAAGGAGGTATGAAAATACGGCTTTCTATCGGTCCCTTACTAGTCTCTATGAGGTGGACCCAGCTCAATGATGAGGCTACGGCGCGCATAATGAAGAGAGAGGAACACATCGAGTGGCTGAGGAAGCTCTTCACTGGGTGGAAGGAGGCTCGGCCGGCCTTGAGGGAGTCGCGGAGGAGGAGGGATAACGGAGGTAACGTGCAGACAGGCCAACAGCCAGTGGGACGAACGAGGGCCGCGACGGTGGCTCAAGCGGGAGGGAGCGGAGACAGTGGGCAGCAAGCGAAGTGGGTGAGACTGATGATGCTCCTCCGACTTAGGGAGCGGTTCAGCTGCTGGGCGGGCTTCAGGCTGGTGCTCACGCGAAAAGGAATCGACGCGATGTACAAAGCATACAAGAAGAGGAGAAAGAAGAGGAGGGACATCAGTGGTGACGAAACAGAAGCTAGCGCAGACGAGGGCAGGGCAGACCCGGGGACGGCGGAGTCGGAGCAGACGGCATCGGCCGCCGAGGAAACGTTGGGAAGAGGCACGAGGAGGGCGGCGACCTCGACCGACTTGGACTATGGAGGACCCGTCACCAGACGACGCAGGGCAGACGACGGGGAGGCGGAGCAGACGCGCAGGGCGAGACGAGGGAGGGAGCAGGATGTTGCGGAGATCAGCAGGAGACTTAGCAGGAGGATGTACGAGCTACGACGAGATTAGGAGCAGCAGGGACCCGAGGGACCATGTGGAAGACGGCTAGTGCTAGTCCCCCATCGGGAGGACGACCCCGGCTAGTCGCCGACCACACCCACAAAGAACCCTGCAAAAAGACCGCAGGGCGGGGACCTGTTCCTTTTTACCCATCTCCTAGTAGAGGTGTCCGTTTTATTTATTTATTTATTTATTACTAGTCTCTATGCCCCCGTCTCACTATCGTCTATCGACCACCGTCCCCCGTGCTTCATATCTCAGGCTGCCAGGAGGGCGACAACGCCGCCGAGCGGCGGCGAGGGCGCGACTCGGCAGCCCTCCAGCGCAGCCGGACGACCACCACGTTTGCCGCGCTACAGCACATCAGCGCCCCGAGCGTGGCGGCGAGCTGGTAGTTGTGATACTCGGGCGAGGCGTTGTACAGGCCGGGGAGCAGGCCGAGGGACCAGATCACCTTGAGCAGCAGCAGCGGGCAGGTCATCGCCGGCGCCGCGGTCCCGAGTGTTGTGCCCGCCCAGTAGCGGAGGTAGCGCCGCGTGAGGCCTAGACAGAAATCTGCGTCCTCCACACGCTAGTGAGGGCATACCGCCCCTGCAACCTGAAGGGCGGGGGCGGGAGACCCCAAGACAGGCATGGCACGGCAAGGCCCGGTGCGGGCGGGACAGCCGGCTGCTGTCGACGAGTGAGAGGTGTCTAGGAAGCGTTTGCGAAGTGTCTGGGAAGTGTCTGCGGGCCTCGTGGCGGCGGCGGCGGAGCGACGTCGGCGAGGAGGGCGGCGGCGGCAACGGCGGCGGGATTCCAGCCAAAGATGTGGAACGAGCTGTTGAGGACGACCGGCGCGACGACCGTCGGAACAAGGGCGATGAGGCAGCGGAGTGCCGCTGCTGCCGTGCCGCTGGCGCCTGCCGGCCTCAGACCCGGCACGAACGCCCATGCGAGCGAGATCGCCGCGGCGGCCCCGCCGGCGAGGAGCTTGGCCGGCTCCTTGGAAAGCACCTCGCCCTTTGGAGGGTGGAAGAAGATGAAGATGACCACACCGAATGCGTGCACCACCGCACCAAACGCATAGAGAGCGTCGCTCACGGCCGCGCCCTCGCTCGGCTTTGAGCCGGTCTTACCCGGCGCGCGGAGCGTGCCGGCGTGAGCCTCTGACGATGCGCCGGCCTTAGTGGGCAGCGGAGAGGGAGCGTAAGAGCCGCGGCGAGTGCTGACCATACACTGCCCGGGCTTTTCTTGGCCTGCCGATACAGCGCGCCAGTGAAAAAATTCGAACGAGGCAAGTGCTCCAAGTGCTCCAAGCTGGACCCCCAAGCGTGGGCGACGGTTAGCGCACCGCACTCCTCTCCTTAAAATCCCTGTGTGGTGGCGGCGTGCCGTCCTCCCATCCCCTCTTGGGTTGTTCTTTTTTCTTTCTTTATGTTCGTTAGAGCTACATGCACTGACTCGAGCTTCTAAAAATCTCTCTCTCTCTGACTCGCCGGCATACACTGACCCGTTCGTTTCCACTAGTGTGATTTTGTGTGAGCTCTGTGTCTTGCTTTACAAACAACATACCTAAAATCGTTTACTAAGCGAGAGAACACTAAAGAAACAAAACAGACACGCCAAACGAGGGATGGGACGAGGACAGGGTCCCCACCTGCACGAGCAGGATTTTGGAAGGACGATCAGGGGGACAGGTGGGGCTCTCCTGCTCCTGACAAGGGACACGACAGGCTCGCAGCGCGGTGCACGGTGGACTCCCACATCCACTGGCGGTCTCATCTCAGTCTAGCGACCTGCCTCCAGCTTGTCGCTGGCAGTCTCTCCTACCACAGGCACACTGACACAGGGGTGGCAGGGGCGGCGGCGAGAGAGAGAGAGAGAGAGAGACCTCTCCTTTTTCCCATTAAGTACGAGTAGGAAGAATCGGAATCTGATCCCGCTCCACCGTCGGCTGCCCCCGTGCTAATAAACGTGCGTCCCACGCCAACCGCCCCTCCCTGGCCCACTGCCGACCGTCAAGCTTCCCTTGACCATGATTGACCCGGAAGGCAAGGATGGCGGCGCGTCTCGCTCCAACCTCAAGCCCATGCTCCTCGGCGCGATCCTCGGCAGCGGTCTGACCGCTGGCGCGTTTGCACTTGCCTCGCACCGGACGCTCGGCTCTGCCCTGCGCGCCGACCGGGCTCCGCCAAACGAAAAGTGGTCCCTGGGGAGTGTGCTTGGGATGGCGGCCGAGACGAGCCAGGACTTTTTTACCGACCCCAATTTTGACTTTGGGGAGACGGGCGAAAAGTGGTCCGACGCAATGAAGCCCGCCGCGTCCGCCGTCGAGGCTGCGCGCGGCATGATCTTTGGCGGCAAGCCCGATCCGCCCGAGGTCCCCCAGGTCATTTTCGTGCACGACGCGGTGCTTGACGACTTTCTGGGCGAGACGCTCGTGATGGACGCGCACGCGAAGGGGGACATCAACCTGCTTGGCTCCATCGTAGTCAATGCCGACTCGGTGCCGCCTACCTCCTTTGAGCTCGTCAAGCAGTTCCGCTCCGCCTTTTACGGCTCCGACGCCCCGACGGGCAATGCAGTCACGCTGACCGAGGCGCGGCTCTTCAATCCCTTTCCGATCGACTACCGCCGAGACAGTTGGAAGATGCACAACCTCCCAGTGATGCAATCTATCCCACCAGCGGAGTTCCTGCCCTCGTGCATCGGCAGCGGCGACGCCTGGCTCGAGGAGACGCTCGAGGCGGCTGCCGACAACAGCATCACCCTGCTGCAGGTGTGTGGCGTGGCGGACCCTGGTAGCGCGCATGCACACGCACGCACGTGGCCGCGCACGCGGGCCGACCGAGACTCGGACAACCCGCGCACCAGCAGCCACCAATAATGGGGCGCGTCGGCAAAGTACTGCTCCGCCGCCTGCTCGTCCTGCGGGAAGGCGATGCGCTGCAAGCTCATCATCTCATCCTCGGTAGCGTAGGTCGCAACTCTCACCAACCTAAAGACGGTCTTCGAGAAGAAGCCCTACCTCGCCAAGAAGGTCACAAAGATGGTCTGGATGGCGGGCGCGATCGACGTGGCCGGCAACCTCGAGGAGCGCCACTGGGCGGGATTCCCAAAGATGACCAAGGCGATGTTTGACAAGTGGGGCTGCAAGACCGTCGGGGAGCCGGCCCCGTGCCAGGACCCGGACAGCGAGTACGGGCGAGGCTTCCCCGAGTGGAACGTTTGGGGCGATGTGCCGGCCGTGGATTACATCTTCCGCACGACCGACTTCCCCATCTACCTCGCGCCCCTCGACCTCGCCGATCAGCTCCCTATCCCGGGCGAGTTCATGAAGACGCTCGACAAGGCCTACACGCCAAAGTGCAACAAGATGATCTACAACGCGCTCAATGTGAGCTACTCGACCTTTGCCGCCCCGCAGCCCTTCTACCGGCTCTGGGACTCGTCCGCCGTGATGTACGGCCTCAAGCCGGAGCTGTTTGGTGAGGTAGAGACCACGGAGCTGGCCGTGGGCACCACCTGGGAGTACCAGGGCTTGCTCATCCGCAAGTCGGAGGCCGAGATGGGCATGCCACCCGTCGAGGACTTTGTCGACGCGTGCGTGCGCGAGGGTGTCCACTCGCCGGTCGCGTTCCGCGAGGTCAACATCGTGCTCGGCCTCGCGGAGCCGGGCAACCCGCAGCCAATCTTCGACTTTGCGGCCAAGTCGGCCTGCGCAGCCGAGTCTTAACAAGGGGCTGTCGGCGCTAACAAGGGGCTGACAGCCCGCCGGCGCTAACAGCGGGGAACGGAGACGCGCCGTGCCGCCGTCGGGCGTCGGCGTCGCCGAGCAGAGTGCCGTGTCGTCGCACGTCGCTTTTTGGCATCGTCGACCGGGGTGGCGAGTCAGAGCACTTGCGCGCGGGCGCCGGGGACGCAGGAAGTCCTCTCCCTTTTCTCACTCCGGGAACCCATTAATTAAGCTCAAAGTACGAACGTACACTGAGAGATCAGACAAGAACGATGGGGCAAAACACGTCGGTCGCTGAAAATGGCCAGGTGAAGACGCTCCAGACTCCGCAATCTCGACGCTGTGGAGCCCCCCTCCTCCTCCCCGACCCCCCCCCACCCCCCCCCTTTCCCGATGCATGCGAACGCAGGGGCTTGACTCCTCGCCCTCCGGCCGCGGCTCGGCCGCCCGGATTGATAGAGTGCGCCCCCTTCGAGATGCGCCGCGATCTCGCTGCGAGAACTCGCTGCGAGACTGCGGCGGAGGAGGGGATCACTCCGGCATCGGCGCCACCGCCCGGCCGAACGCGCGCACGCGCATGATGCCGCCGTCGGGGAAGATGGAGACGCGCGCGTGCGTCGCGCGGCCTGCCGACGAGTCGAGCTCCTGTGATTCATTCCTCAGGATTAAGTACTAGCGTTGATACTCGTCGCGCGGCCTGCCGACGAGTCGAGCTCCTCCTCAAACGCGTGAATCGCGTCGGGCCCGAGGCGCGTGCGCGGCAGCAGCGGCCGCCACTCGACCGCGCCTGCTCACAGTAGAGGCGTGAAGAGACGCCGTTCACACGTCCAGCAGCGGCCGCCACTCGCCCGCGCCCTCGAGCAAGTCCTGCACCTCTGCGTGCGGCGCGTCGCACACCTCCACGAGGCACGACTCTGGGTAGTTTCCGCGAAAGTGCGCCGTGTCGATCTCGAGCCGCTCGATGCCGCCCGCCACGGCGGCGAGTCGGAACACGCACCACTCCGACGCGCCCGGCATGTCGACCAGCCCCGAGGACGGGTCCTGGCGCAGCACCGCAGGCCGGTTCGGGTTGCGCGCCGTCTCCCACCCGTGATCCATCCGCTCCCCGCGGCCAGGCCGCAGCAAGTTGCTTGGCTCGCCGTAGTGCCGGTTCGAGCAGCCGAGCGCGCGCGCGCCGTTCAGGGCGGAGAGCAGGTCGAGCGAGCCGACGGCGGCGGCGTCGAGCTCTGTCGCAAAGTCGCGCGCCACGGTCCCCCACGCACGCATGCGCGCAATCCCGCCGTCGGGCAGCGCGTCGACCAGCAGGTGGGTCACGCGGCGCGAGGCGAGCTCGGGAGGCACCTGAGCCGAGGGGAGCCGAGCGATGTCTCTTGGCTGTGTATCTCGGCTGCATCTCGGCTGCATCTCGGCTGTGTCTCAACCTCAAATAGGTGGACCGAGTTGCCCTCGGCAACCTCGCCGTCGTCGGGGACGCCGGAGGCGGCGCCGCGCACGTACCCCGCCCGCAGCCGCGACTCGGGCACCAGCTCGCACCACTCGGCCTTCGCCTCGACGGCGGCGCGGGCGCGAGCAATCTCGTCGGCCGAGGCGCAGGAGCCGCGCTGGCCGAGGTCTGCGCGCGGCGGGCCGAGCCAGGCGGTCTCGGGCAGCTCGCCGCCGCCGCGCGACGCCTCGCCCTCCTCCGCGTCGATGCACGCCGCCAGCACCCGCACCGCCGGAGTCTGGTTGCCCGTAAAGTGCGCCGTGTCAATCTCGACCCGCTTGACGGAGCCGGCGAGGCCGAGGCGGAGCAGCGCCCAGTCGTGGCCGGGAAGGCGCCGGCGGCGCGACTCCCACCCGTCCATCACCTTGCCCTGCGTGCAAAAGGTCTCCGAGTCGAAGTGCGGCGCGTGAGGCTGCAGCAGGTTGTCGGCCGTCGCAAACCACTCGTCCGTCGCAAAGAGGACGCGTGCACCGAGACCAGCGTCGGCGAGATTGGTGAGGCTGCGGTCGGCGATGCTGGAGATGGCGCGGCAGTGCACCGCGCCACGGAGCCGCAGGTCGCCGCAGCGACGTGCGGCAAGCCGGCAAAGCATCGATCTCCGGGGTCGGGCGGGATTTCGTTCTCCGCCGCCTTTCGGCTGACTCGTCTCGAGGTTCTCGAGGTTCTATGGAGCATTTGAGCCATTCTGATCATTCCTGGGACCCCCGACGTCGATGGTGGGCGTTTCGACGCCGGCAGCAGGCATGCCGTACGAGGCGCCCGCGGAGGGAGCGCTAATGTCCACGAGTCCACCGCCGGGGCGGTGGCTTCGACTGAGCACTGAGGGGAGGCTGACGTCCACCGCGGGCCCACCGACCTCGCCGCCGTAGGCAGCCCGGTCGGCGGTGATTGAAGGCACGTCCACTGTCCCAGATGCGTCGACAGTGGGCGTCTCCACTTCGAGCTCTTTGTCCTCCATTTCGACCTTACAGCTGCACGCGCACCTCACTCCGGGTGCAGCATCCTCCCTTGCATGATTCCTTACAGAGCGTGCCGGCGCAGTTGCCCATGGCGCCAGTCGCACGCAGGCCCCCAGATGTGACGGACGGTTGCACTTCATCCGCCGCGAACGGTGGCGAAGGATCCTTTATTTGATTGTATAAAGACGGCGGCCGTCGGTGCAGGAAGCGACCACGAGAGGAATGACCGCCACGCGACGCTTACGGACCCCCCGCCCGGCGTTCGTCATGGCGATCTGGTGGCTCTGCCCTCCCTCTGCCGGACAGGCAAGCTCATTCACAATCTGCTCTGCGATGGCCGTATGAAGAATGACCGCGATACGCTGCTTCTGCAACCCCAGCCAACTCTTAGTGGTCCAAGTCACCTCATCGAGGTACTGGGCCCGCGTCAGCTTGTTCTGTAGCACGTCTGCGGCCTTCCGGAGGATCTCACGGATCCCCCTCCCGAACCCGCCGAACGATTCGAACAGCAGCAGCTGCACGTCAACGTCCTTGTCTTCCCTGGCGTAGCGATAGTCCCCGCTGTAGGACGGTATGCGGCGGTCGCCGCCCACCACCCTGCCCCCCCCTGGTATGCCAGTGCCCGGTCCCTTGCCCTCTCTCGCCCTTGCTCTTCCTCTCCCCCTCCATGCCACCCCCCCCTGACCCCTCCCCCCCCTCCTCTTCTCCCCCCTCCCCCCCCCCCCCTAGGAAAAGAATTCTGCACGCCAATAATTTCAAACCCTTTCCCTCTCACCACACGGGCACGGGACGGGCGCGCACTGGGCGAAAAATAATTTTTCCTGCCCTGTAAAACGAGAATTTTCCGAGCTACACCTCACACCACAACGTCAACGATTCGCAAAAGCGGCATGCGCGACGCTGCCTCTTTGCGCCGCACACCCACTCCTCTTCTAGAAAGAGAATTTCCCATACCAAACTCTTCTTACTACCCCTTTGTCAGCGATGACCCCTGCCCACGCCCAAGGCTCCTCAGAATCTCGCAGAGCATTTCGGGCCAGCAGCCAAGTGTCCTTGCGTCCAGCGTGCTCATCGGTGAGGGGCTAATCGGTGAGGGGAAGGGTGGCAGGGGCTGACCCGGGGGCTCGGGGGTGGGGGGCTATGGCGCCGTCGGCGGCTGTGGGGGGGACGGAGGCGGAGATGGAGGGTGGGGCGGTTGGGGAGCAATGCGAGCTCTACCGGGTTTTAACCACCGGGCCCTGGTGGTGCTAGTCCTGGGACCTGCGCTAGTTCTAGTAATCCGCGCGCCCGACCGCCTTGGGAAGCACGAAGCTACGCCAGAGGTCCACCAGCCCCGGAGCCGCACCCTCGCTGAAGCGCTCCTCGTCCCACGCGATCAGGCAGCCCAAGCGCATGACCTCCGCCGCCCACTCGCGAGCCGCTTTTGGGAAGAGCTCGTGCGACTGCGGCGACCACACCGCCGCCTCGAGGACCAGCCTGGCCACCTCCACCGCCTCGGCCGCCGGCTCCAGGTTGGCCGGCCTGAGGAAGAAAGAAGGCATGGGATGTGCAATGAGAGAGTCCGGCAAGTGGGCAGAGAGCCCAACAGCGCATACCGGGCCTGAGTGCAAGGGCCTTGGCCTCACCCGCCACGCGCACGCCGACTCGGCCCGTCGAAACGTCGGCGGAGACGACGACAGCCACCTTGCCGTTCAGAGACGGCCGCGAGACGAGATCGAGGATCGTGACGGTCGATCCGACCGCAGCCACGAGGGCGACCTCCACACTTTGGAGTGCGGTCTCGGCCGCCCAACCCACCCCGCTCAAAGAGCATAGCGATATCGCGCGCAAGACGGCCGAGGTCTCGCCACGAGCATGGGCGGCGGCGGAGGTCTCGGCGTACGTCGAGGCTGGCCAGTCAATGTCGGCGCCGCCGCGCAGCAGCGCCCGAGCCTGCTCCACAGTGAGGACCTGCAGGGAGCGGAAGCGCGGGTGAGGCGATGGTAGAGCGGAAGCGCGGGCGAGAGCATGATGGTCGGGCCGAGAGCTAGAGAGGGGGGCGCTACCTCGAGGTGCTGGACCCGCGTCCAGCCACGGCTGACGCGCAGCCACGCTGCCAGGGGAGCGTGGCCTTCACGTGCCGCCACCTCCTCGGGCGTGCCGGCAGGCGTCACGTCGCGGCGATCGCCGTGGGCGCAGAGTAGCTGGGCACACCCGAGGTGGCCGCGCGCGCAAGCGAGGGACAGCGGTGTCCAGCCATCCTCGGTGGCTTGGCTGACCGACGCGCCGCTCTCGATCAGCACTCGGGCGCACTCGAACTCACCGTCCTCGCACGCGATGTAAAGAGGCGTGGCGCCACTGTCCATCGCCTGGTCGACGGCAGCGTGGGCGCCGCACAGCAGTCGGACGACCTCGGCATGGCCCTGGCTACACGCGGCGATTAGCGGCGTGGCGCCGCCACTGCCGCCGCGTGTGGCCTGGTTGACCGACGCGCCGGCAGCTAGCAGCATCCGGGCGCACTCGAGGCGGCCGCGATAGCACGCCGCGAAGAGCGGCGTGTCGCCAGTGTTCGCGGCTTGGTTGGGTGCCGCGTTGGCGTCGAGCAGTACCTTGACGCAGGAGCTGTGGCCATGGTGGCTCGCCATGAGCAGCGGCGTGAGTCCCGTATCGCACGCTTGGCTGATCGCCGCACCGGCGCTGCAGAGCAGCTGGCAGCACTGGAGGTCGCCAGTCTGGCATGCGACAATCAGAGCGGTGAAGCCATTCTCTGCGGCTGCATTGACGTCGGCGCCAGCAGCAACCAGCAGCCAGGCACACTCGGGCTGGCCTAGCCCGCACGCGGTGAGGAGCGGAGTGCCGCCGCGAATGCCAGGGGGCGTAGTTGCAGTTGTCAGATGGACTTGATCGACTGCCGCGCCGGCGTCGCACAACAGCCGAGCGCACTCCACGTGTCCATCGCCACATGCGAGGTGCAGCGGTGCGAATCCTTGATCGTTGGCCTGATCGACCGCCGCGCCAAGGCGAAGCAGCAGCCGAACGAGCCCGATGTCGCCCTCTTTCTTGTACGAGCGAATTGGCGCGGTAAACTGCGTCGCCTCCACACAGCCCAAGCGCGATCGCACCTTCGTTCATCTTCAGCGAAACTGCAAACCTCAAGGTGAGAAATTCACGAGGCGAGGGGTAGACGAAGCGCCTCGGCAAGAGCCAGGCGACAACACAGAAGGCAGCCGCCGCCACGGCAGCAACGAGCGCCCTCGCCAGCGCCCCCTTGGCCGCAGCCGCTACCACCACCGCCACCGCCACCACCGCCACCGCCACCGCCGGGACGTTGACAAAGAGGTACGCATCGACGCCATCACAATGCCGTATGAACTCGGCCGAGGAGCTACGAGTGCTTCGCAAGCGGCTCGAGCGGAGGCGGCGAAAAAGCGCCATCATTGCTCAAATGGAGCGCTAGCCTGGGTTCCCTTAGTTCAACGCACCTGGGTTCCAACTTTTTGCGGGACATGGTATGGTGCACTCACGGCCCAAAGTTGTGCCCTTGTTTGTTCTCTTGGCACCTTGGAGTGCTGGGAGGGGCGACAGGGAGGATGTGGCCTTGAGTTATGTGTACGCCAACTCAGGGTGTGTGGCAGCCAGCTGGCTGTGTGTCTTGTGAGCTTGTTTGTGTCTGTGTGTCGTTCGTGCGTGTCGTCATCATCTGTCCCGCGTCCACCCATACCGCGTTGGTGTCCAGTCTGAGCCCGACTGTTGTTCATCTTTCTACATACATACATACCCAAAGGGTGGGGGGGTATGGTCCTGACCGCCCATCCCCGGTCTCCGGGAGGCTGGGTCTGTCAGCAGGCGGGGGGGTATGGTCTCGAGGTGGGTTGCGTGAGGGTACCATACCATACCCCGCAAAAAGTCCGAACCCTGCACGTGCCTCAGCACATCCGTTCTTGAAAAAGTGGGTGGGGGGGTAAACGCTTCGTAGGCCCCGGATGGTGAGTGGGTGGGTGGGTGGGTGGGTGGGTGGGTGGGTGGGTGAGTGGGTGGGTTGGTGGGTGGGTAAGGTTTGGTCGTTTCTCTCTCCCCTCGCGCGCGTCTTCGAGGCACAGCTCTCGTCGTTGCCACAGCATGTCGTTCCTCGCACCGTGCCCACGCGATGCGCGGCACCAGCTGACCGAGATCGCGCTCCCCGACCCGACTGCCGCGTGCCTTACGGGCGGCTTACAGCGCGCTCAACAAGTCATTCATCCGAGGGCGGACTGCTGTTACGCTCGACGAGAGCGACGCCGCTCTAGCAGCTCGAGGGGTTCAAACGCGAGACGACCATCGTCTCCGCCGAGCTCGACGACGAGGCGGCCGTTATTATCTCCTTTCCTCGGGAGAGCGGCGGCGGCGGTGTAGAGTCGGCGGTGCGCTCCCGACGACAAATATTCGCCTCACAGTCAAACACGGCTGCTCACACGCCCAGCCGTGCTCTGGTGCGTCGCTTGGGTCGCCTCTGCCGCCGAGATGTCGAGGCCGGGGCGCACTCTTCGACTTGGGCTATTATCTGGCCTCGGGAGGGCGGCGGCGGCGGCGACGCGGCGTAGGGGCGGCGGCGAGCTCCCGGTGGCAAATGCTCGCCTCACAGTCCAAGATGGCGGCTCGCGCCCCCGGCCGTGCTCTGGCGTGCCTCTCTAGTCCCGCCTGCCACCCAGATACCGAGGGCGGCGCGCACTCTTCGACGCTTGGGCTATTATCTGGCCTCGGGAGGGCGGCGGCGGCGGTGTAGGGGCGGCGGCGAGCTCCCGGTTGCAAATGCTCGCCTCGCGGTCCAAGATGGCGGCTCGCGCCCCCGGCCGTGCTCTGGCGTGCCTCTCTAGTCCCGCCTGCCACCCAATTACCGAGGGCGGGGCGCACTCTTCGACTTGGGCTATTATCTGGCCTCGGGAGGGCGGCGGCGGCGGTGTAGGGGCGGCGGCGAGCTCCCGGTTGCAAATACTCGCCTCACAGTCCAAGATGGGGCGGCTCGCGCCCCCAACCGTGCATCAGCGTGCCTCTCTAGTCCCGCCTGCCACCCAGATACCGAGAGCTGGGCGCACTCTTCGACTTGGGCTATTATCTGGCCTCGGGAGGGCGGCGGCGGCGGCGTAGAGGCGGCGGCGAGCTCCCGGTTGCAAACACTCGCCTCACAGTCCAAGATGGCGGCTCGCGCCCCCGGCCGTGCTCTGGCGTGCCTCTCTAGTCCCGCCTGCCACCCAGATACCGAGGGCGGGGCGCACTCTTCGACTTGGGCTATTATCTGGCCTCGGGAGGGCGGCGGCGGCGGCGTAGAGGCGGCGACGAGCTCCCGCGGTTGCAAATACTCGCCTCACAGTCCAAGATGGCGGCTCACACGCCCAACCATGCTCTCCATTAATTGCTTCATGAGGGACATATCGAGTAATCTCGGGTAATCTCGGGTAATCTCGGGTAATCTCAGGTAGTATTGGATCGCGTATAATGGGCGGGAGCGGGCACACACTCACACACAGACACACACACACACACACACACACACACACACGCACAGACACACATTATTAGTGATCTCGGGCAATCTCGAGCAACCTCGCGTAATCTCGGGTAATCTCGGGTGATGTTGGATCTCGTGTAATTATAGCGAGCCTGAGCGCGCGCGTGCACACACACACACACACACACACACACACACACACACACACACACACACACACACACACACACACACACACACACACGCAACAGTCTTGGAGAGCATCTGGAGTCTGTCGGTTACTTGACCCATTAAATTAATGCCAAATTATATACCGGAACCGCCGCGCGTCATCCTCCAATTCAAGTCATGCACACGAATACGCACCTAACACTACGTACATATCTCCACCCGCGCGCGATGACTGTACCGCACGCAGCGCCCCAGCCCACACGCGCCCTCACTCTCCACGCCATGCACACTTGCACACAATAAGCAATAACAAAGCACGGCAGTCGGCACGCGCGCGACAGGAGTGCGACAGGCGCCCTCACACCGCCCTCGGCCCACCGCCGAGCGCCGCCGAGATCTGGCGCGCCGCGCCAAGCACGCGACCCTCGCCGAGCGGGAGCACCTGTTCACAGCGCGCACGTGTGAAGAGAGCAGGGGCGACTCCGCCGCCGCCGGGGCGCTGCGGTGCGCGACAAGCCTCGTTGTAGAACCACGGCAGCGTGCCCTGCACCGGCGCGTTCATCAGCACCCGCGCCACCCACTTGGTGGGCGTGATGAAGGCCGCGCTCCCCTCAGCAGCAAGCCCCTCGCGCACCACCGCGGCGTAGCTGATCGGCCGCCCGCCGCCCGCCGCCGCGTAGTCGAGCGCGCGGCCCCAGAGTGCCTGCTGCGTGATTGCGATCGCGTTTCCAGCGAAGATGTTGACGCCGAGCCCGAACCAGAAGAGCGACTGCGCGTCCTTCTTCTCCTGCGGGTAGAGGCGCTGGTAGAGCACCGGCGTCACCACGAAGGAGGACGAGGCCTAATAACAATTGGCTCATCATTAATGAACGCTGGTAGAGCACCGGCGTCACCGCGAAGGAGGAGGCCATGATGAAGTTGCGCGACGCGTTTGCGGCGAAGCCGGGGCCGAGCGCGCGCGCCACGGGGTTCGCACCGAGCTTGGCCTCGACGGCGGCGAGCTTGTCGATGCCGTAGAAGCGTTGCGCCTCGGCGCGGTTCGAGACGCTCGACTCGATGCACCCCGACAGCAGCGGCGCCAGCACCACCTAACCTCGGGCAATCTCGGGTGGTCTCGGGTGATCTCAGCCCGACAGCAGCGGAGAGAGAGGGAGGGAGGTGGGAGGGAGAGAGGCAGGCAGATGCAGAGAGGCAGAGAGGCAGAGAGGCAGAGAGGCAGAGAGGCAGCACCACCTTGCCAGCCGCGCGAGCCTGCTCGGAAGGCGACATCGGCGCGGCGCTCTCGTCGGGGCGGCGCATGAGCTCCTCGCCGTACGGGATGCACCGCACGCCGAGCAGCCGCGAGAGCGCGCGGTCGCAGACCTGGACGGGTCCTCGTCGGTTCACTTTAGCAAGTCATTCATCGCTAACCCGGGGCGCGGCCAGGACCTGGAAGACGCAGCCCATCACCGAGTACTGCAGGAACCAGGCGACGAGGGAGGCGCGCCCGACGGTGCGGAACGGCGCCATCGCGCCGTCCGCAAAGACAATCTTCGCCGCCTGCGAAAGCTGCCCCTGCCCCGACACCTGGCTCAGTCGAGCAACAATTAGCTACTTACGCATGACTAATTAATAACACCTGGCTCATTCCAGCACCATTAGCTAATTACGCATGACTAATTAATTGAAGGCTCGCGGCACCTGGCTCGAGTTGAGCACCATCGCGAGCCGCTCGAGAGGCATACCGGCGAAGCGCATCACCACGGCGTAGATGCCGAGCCCCGTAGACCGGTAGGCCACCTTGACCGACTCCTGAGGGCGGCGGCAGGGAGGGAGTGGCGGTGACGGTGGCGAGCGGCGTCGGCGGTGGCGAGTGGCGGAAGCGGTGGCGCAGGCGAGGTGGAGGCGTGGCTGGCTGTTGGCGAGAGAGAGAGAGAGCAGCGAGCTCGAAAGCGGTGGTCGGCGGCGGCGGCGGCGGGAGTGGCAACCTCGGTGCTGGCGTGCAGCTGCAGCACCTCCGCCTCCGCCTGCCGGGACGCCTCCAACGCGATAGAGTCCTCCGTCACGGTACGCACGAGACGCGAGCCGCGAGTTCGCGCAGCTTCGGCGGCAGCTTCAGTTTTCGTGCGGACGATCCTGGCTGTTCGCTCAACAGTGGAGCCTGACATTCCGCGTAGCCCACCCGCACCTTATTTCGCGGGAAAAGAATTTCACTACGGATACGCAATTCCCTCGCACGACACAACTGTGTGGTGGCGGCGTGCCGTCCTCCCATCCCTCCCTTGGGTTGTCTGTTTTCTTTCTTTTTTCGCACGACACAAAATCCCTGCGAGAGAGTTCCCCTGTGCCCTGTGCCCAGCCCTCTCCGCGCGGCGATGCGCCCTTCCCCCTCGCTTTTGCAAAATCCTGCAAAGGTGGGGACGTGTCTGTCCTCGACCCAGCCCTAGCTTGGGATGTCCGTTCTATTTATTTATTTACTTATACACAAAATCCCTGTGTGGTGGCGGGCGTGCCGTCCTCCCATCCCTCCCTTGGGTTGTCCGTTTTCTTTCTGTTAGACCTAAAGGTCGGCGCTTCGAGCAATTAGGGCGCCTTTTGGGCAAAAGGTGGCCTAGTGGGTAGAAGCGCCGACCTTTAGGTCTAACACTTTCTTTCTTACAATAGGCACGGGACTGGCGCGTACTGGCACTAACACAGGAGAAAAGAATTTCCAAAGTTCGACTTTCAAACAAACCCGAAAGGGGACTGCTGACCGGGTTTGTGATGAGGAGCGATCCGAACGTGGCATTCGGGAGAGATTTTTAGCAATACCAAACAACTCTAACACTCACACGTCATTTGGGGCCTGGAGCCCTGTTTTCACGCGCGCGCGAGCGAGACGTGCAGACAGGGGGTTGCCAGATGTGTTGTTGTGTCATTCGGGTGATCAGATCACTACCGCCGAATCGGCAAGCGCTTGGAGCAAGAGAATTTTACAAGAGCGTGCGAGCAAGAGAACTGCGACTTTACGACCAATTGATTTAGTGTGCCTGTGGTAGTGAGAGACTGCCAGTGAGAAACTGGACCTCTGGAGGCAGGTCGCCAGATGAGAACGCCAGCCAGTGGAGTAGGGAGTCCACTGAGCACCGTGCTGCGAGCCCGTCGCTGTCCCTTGTCAGGAGCGGGAGAACTAGGAGACGCAGTAGGAGGCCCGCGCCTGCCCCCGTGCCGCCGGGTGCAACTTTGTCCTATACGAGAGGGGGATCCCTGGGACCCTGTCGTGTGGGTGAACCCTGCCCAGCCCCCCTCCGTGTCGCGATGCGCTCCCCGCTCCCGTTCCCCTGTGTCCCTGATCGTCCTTACAAGATCCTGCTCGCGCAGGTGGGGACCCTGTCCTTCTCCCACCCCTTGTTTGGTTTCTCCGTTTTTATTTATTTACTGGGCACGGGACTGGGGCGCGCTCGGAAAAGAATTTACGGAATTCAAGTCTCTCTCACAGCAGGCCCAGAAAACTGGTGCAACGGCGAGTGCTATTGGGACAGCAGTGCATGGCCCCACCATTCGATTGCTTGCATAAGTAGGATCGATCCGCCCGGGCACCTTCCCGTTCCGCAAGGACCAAGGTGGCGGCGGCGTGGCCCCGTCCTTCCAAGTTCCATCCGCCCTCCTTCAGTCCACGCAGTTTGTTTTATTTCTTTATTAGAGCCATCGCGACTTCTAGTTTTCTTTCTTTACTTTTTATCATTCGTGCTCAAGAAACATGCTACACGAAGTCGAATGTGGTGTGTTCAGGGATTGAGATGAAGAGCCTTAAACGCCGCTCCCCGTCTCCCTTAGAGTCACGGTTGTAACCGATCGCCGCCTGGTCCCGTGCCGAGGAGGGTGAGCAGGGCGGTGGCGGCATCGGCGGCGTCGGAGCTCCCGCTCGGCTCGCTGGGAGCCTGCGATAAGGCGGCACCCCGCACAGGCGCGCTGCTGCGACTGCCGGTGGCAAGCGGGTCGCGTTGTATGGCACGCCAGCTGGTGCTGTCCACGGCACCAGCAACCGACGCCATCCCTTCGAGCTCCCCGATGACGCCATCTGGCATGCTCGAACTCGGCTCCGAGCTCGACGCGCGCAGGAGCGGCGGCGGCTCCTGCGGCGGCGGCAGCGGAGGCGGCGGCAGGGGAGGTGTCGGCAGGAGAGGCGGCGGCGGCAGCCCGATGTGAGGGCCGGATGCCACGAGCTGCGCCGGCAACGGCTGCAGCGTGCGGCTAACGCGAAATGCCATCAAGCTGCCCGGCGCACATAAGATCGGGGACAGGCCGGGTAGAACGTTGGCGGTCTCGTCTCTGAGGATCACGAGCCGAGGCCCAACACAGCCTTGAGTTTGATTGATCAATCGGTGAGCCGGCCATTGGCGGCCAGTAGTGTGAGGCTCGTTGTAGACGCCGCCGCCGTGCGTGTTGTAAGGCGCCACTCCCCGGTCGCGGTCGACGGTCCGAACGCGGGAGGCGGGGATGAGAAGGCCGTCTCGTTGGCAAGTCGAGCAAAAGCGCTGGCGAAACGCGGCTGAGGTGGGCTCGGCCGGCGCGTGCAAGCCGCCGGCGAGCAGCTGACCCCAGCACGTCTTAAAGACCTTCTGGCGTTTGTCTGCGCTGGACGTCATGCGTTGGGGCTCTGTCGTGGCCTGTGCCTGTGCATCGGTCGACATCGCTTCGCGAGGGTTTGGTAAGTACGTTGGTCTCAAAGCCGACCCACGGTCGGGTTATTCTTTTGTTGAGACCAACGCGCGAGGTAGTCTTGTCGCGGAGCGAGAACAATTTTCAGTGTATGTGGCTCTTACGAACATACCACCAGCCGCCCTTGCTGTCAACTGCTCATCTCCTACTGCTGGACACGCTACTCCATTCCTTTGCGAGCCACCTCCTCGTGCCGCCATATTTTCTTTTTGAGCCAGCCTTCGTTCGAGATAGGGACTAGAGGTGGATATCCTTTGACCGCGCGTTGGGTAGCGAGAATTGGTGTGACGCGATCCACGCAGGCGTATTTTCTGACGGCCGACCGTCAGTGCACGGAGTTGCCCCTTCTCCGACTGCCCCGCGGCTATCGAGTACATAGTTTGTTTTTTCATTCACGGGATTCGCGCCGGAGCGGCGGGAGTAACCCCGTGCGTCAAACCCGAGACCTAGCGCGGGTGGGTTGGGGGGGCTCGCTGCGAGGAAAAGGGCTGTGTAAGAAGCCGATCCCCGTAGTCCGCCACGCTCCTCCCCATCGGGCCTCATATTCGATCGTAAGAAAATTTTCTTATTCGGCCGGGCTTGCTCATCACCGGCTCCTGCGCGGCGATGTTTGCCCGGGCGCGCTCCCGGGCGCGCTCGTCGGCTCGTATGCGCCTGCTCCTCTCCTTCATCCTGTCCAGCCTCTCCAACGGCCTTCTTCCTCACCGGCAGCGGCCGCTTGGCTCGGTCGTCTTTCTCCGCCACGGCGCCACCGACTGGACTGAGCGCCGCACATTTACGGGATGGGCCGACCCGGACATCTCTCGAACCGGCGCGCAGCAGGCCGCGACGGCGGCGCTCGCGCTCAAGGAGTCTGGCTTCATCTTCGACGTGGTGTACACCTCTGTGCTCAAGCGCGCGGTGCACTCGACGTGGCTGGTGCTCAAGGAGCTTCAGCAAATCCACATCGAGGTGCACAAGGATTGGCGGCTCAACGAGCGCTCGTACGGCGGCATCACCGGGCAGACCGTCGAGCAAGCGATCGAGCGGCACGGCGCGGAAACGGTCGCGTCGTGGCGCCGCTCGTTTGACGCGCGTCCGCCCGGCTACGAGCAGGGCCAACCGTACAACCCGTTCGCAGACGAGAGGTACCTCCGCTGGCAGGCGGCTGCTGGCTAGTCCTCAGGTAGATGTCGCGCGTGTGAACTGATGCCTAACGGCGAGGTGCCTCCGCTCGCAGGGGCGCGGCGGTCGCGTCTCGCGTGTGCTCCCTCCAGACTCGGAGAGCCTCGAGGACGTGGCGAGGCGGACGAAACCGCTGTGGGCGAGCGGCATTGCGCGCGAGGTGCGCGAGGGCAAGTCGGTCCTCGTGGTCGCGCACGGCAACTCGATCCGGACGATGATGCAGGCGATCTCGGCTGCCTCTCGGCCGCCTCTCGGCCGCCTCTCGGCCACCTCTCGGCCGCCTCTCGGCCACCTCTCGGCCGCCTCTCGGCTCTCGGCCGCCTCTCGGCCGCCTCTCGGCCGCCTCTCGGCAACTCCCTCTTGAGGGCGGTGATGGTGGTGCAGGCAATCGACGGCGTGGCGGACGAGGACGCCGCAACGCTCGAGGTGCCGTCGGCATCATCATCAGCATTCGTCATCATTATTCGTCATCATTATTGCCAGCATTGCCAGCATTGCCGTGATTGCCAAGGTATTGCCATTCTCATCATGGTATCACCGTCCCAACCGCAGGTGCCCGTCGGGATCCCGATCGTCTACCGCTTCGCGCAAGTCGACGGCAAGCTCACACCCCAGGCGCCCGGCGATGTCCTTCTGCAGCCTCTTCTGCAGGGGGGTGCCATCTCTCGCGCAACAAGCTCTCTCCCGCCTCAGGCGCCCGACGCGGTCGCGGAGTGTCTCGCCGACTTCGCGCCCGGCAGACCGCCCTGCGTCAGCGCGGACTTCCTTGCCGGCGAAGCAGCGCTCGCAAAGGCCTTCCTCGAGTCGCGTCGCGCCTCGCTCGACCGGTACGGCCTCGGAGGCGACCCGAGACTCGTCGAGATCACCCGAGATGACCCGAGATGACCCGAGATCACCCGAGATGACCCGAGATCACCCGAGATCACCCGAGATGATGACTCGCTCGAGCCGCGCCTCACAGCCGCACGGCTGAGAAAGGCTGGGAGAGAGGTTGGGAAAAGAAGAGCCCCCGAGGAGAGAAAGAAATTGGGGCGCAGGCGACCGCGCGAGCGGCGGCCTCGACGGCTTCGGCGAGCTGATGCCCGCCGGCTCCAGCTGTGAAGGGCGCCTCTTCACGCCTCCAGCTGTGAACAGGTGAGCTGGTGGTGCCCGCCGGCTCGTTGCCTGGTTTGGAGGAGAACGCGGGAAGCTACTTCCGGCACGAGGGGGGTGGGGGGGCGGAGGAGGCGGGGCAGGAGGAGGAGGACGACATAGAGGTGGCGGCGGCCGTGGCGGCGGTGGAGGCGGAGCTGGCGGCGGTGGCACCGGCGATGGAGGAGGAGGCGGGAGCGGCAGTCGCGCCAGCGGGCGGTGGGGGTGGCACTGGCTCACTCCGTTCGTTGACTCATTGAGTTAGGCGGGGCCGGCAGTCGCGCCCGAGGGCTGTGGGGAGGGGGAGGGGGAGGGGGAGGGGGCTGCAGCTTCCGCCGCCAGCGGGCGGTGCGAGTATGCGGTGGCGGAGGCGGCGGAGGCGGCGCGGCGGGCGCTGCGCGCTCGGCAGCGGAGGCAGCGCGTCGTCCTCCTTCGGCACGTGCTCGCCGCGTTCTGTGTCTTGACGAGGTCGGCTGTTCTCGCTGTTTTAGGCAGCGCGTCATCATCATCCGGCACGGCAAGACGCGGCACAACCAGCTGGGCCTCTTTACGGGGTGGGAGGGCACCTTCCGAGACACTTGCCAGACACTTCCGAGACACTTGCCAGACACTTCTTTACGGGGTGGGAGGGCACCTTCCGAGACACTTGCCAGACACTTCCGAGACACTTGCCAGACACTTCCTTACGGGGTGGGAGGGCACCTTCCGAGACACTTGCCAGACACTTCCGAGACACTTGCCAGACACTTCTATGCGACTTCTAGGCGGCACGTCTCAGACGCTTGCCAGACGCTTGCCAGACACACCTCCACCTTCTCAAGACACCCGTTCGAGACTCCTCCCAGTCAGAGGAGCTCGGCCGCCCCCCAAGCCCGCCACCACCAGCGAGCTGAGGCGTCTTCTCGGCGGTGTGTCTAGGTGGGAGGACGCCGAGCTCGCCGTCGCTGGGCGGGCGGAGGCGATCGCGGCCGGGCAGCTGCTCGCGCGGCGCGGGAAAGAGCCGAGAGAGCGCCGGGAGGGAGCCGAGAGGAGTGTTCTTGCGTGGGTGGTCTCGATCATAAGACTACCAACCCAGGCACGGCATCGCGGTGGACGTGGTGTACACGTCCTGGCTCTCGCGTGCCATCGAGACCGCGTGGCTGGTGCCCGCGGGGCCGGAGAGATGCACAGGTGAGTCCTCCGTCCACCAGCCGAACGGGACACCTGCAGGTGCTCGCGGAGCTGGACGCGATGCACACGCCCATCTACAAGACGTGGCGCCTCAACGAGCGGATGTACGGCGCGCGATCTCCCCCCTGCCCCCCCCCTCCGACACACCCGAGATGGCGCGAGATGACGCGAGATGACGCGAGATGGCGCGAGATGGCGCGAGATGGCGCGAGATGGCGCGAGAGAGTACGCGACGTCCATGACGAGGATGGGTGGATCGCTCCTTCTCGCGGCTAGGCGCGCTCACCGGCCTCTCCAAGAAGAAGACAAAGGCGCGGTGTGGCGAGACGCCCTTCTTCCGCCGTGGCGGAGCCCATCAGTCCGCTCAGCTTCTCCTCGCTAGGCCCAGTACGGCGAGACGCAGTTCAAGAAGTGGCGCCGCGGATACGACTGCCGCCCGCCGCCCGTCGACTCGTTCTCGTCCCACTACCCCGGCAGCTACGCGAGGCGGCACGAGCGGCATGTCAAGGAGGAACGGCTCACGAGTCCGCTCGTAATCAGGCAACGCGAGGCGGTACGTGCGGCACGTCAAGGACGTGCCTTTCGACTTGCGCGAGTCGCTCGTCCGCTCCTTCGCGCTCGGCAGTCATTACCCGAGAGTAGCCGAGAGTAGCCGAGACTGCCCGGAGGCAGAGCGGAGATAGAGGCGTGCTGGAGCGGAGATAGAGGCGAGCTGGAGCGGAGATAGAGGCGAGCTGGAGCGGAGATAGAGGCGAGCTGGAGCGGAGATAGAGGCGAGCTGGAGCGGAGATAGAGGCGAGCTGGAGCGGAGATAGAGGCGAGCTGGAGCGGAGATAGAGGCGAGATGGAGTGGAGATAGAGGCGAGCTGGAGCGGAGATAGAGGCGAGCTGGAGCGGAGATAGAGGCGAGCTGGAGCGGAGATAGAGGCGAGCTGGAGCGGAGATAGAGGCGAGCTGGAGCGGAGATAGAGGCGAGATCGCTCGTCCGCTAGTGCGTGAGACCAGAATCGGCAAGCCGACTCTCTGCCGCGCTAATCAATGGTTAGTTATTCATAATTAATAACAGGCAAGCCGACTCTCTGCCGCGCGCTGCCGCGCACGGAGTCGCTGCGCGGCTGCACGCAGAGCAGCGTCGCTCCGCAGCAGTCTCTTTGGTTGAGTCGCAGCGGGTTCAGCGCGCTAGGCGCGACTGCATGGAGCGCACGATCCCGTACTGGACGTGAGTGATGAAGTATTTGGCTGTTTGCCGAGCAGGCGCGACTGCATGGAGCGCACGATCCCGTACTGGACGGGAGTGATCGAGGCAGAGGCGATCGAGTCCGGGCGGAGCGTGCTTGTGGCCTCGTCGGAGAATGCGGGCCGCGCGGGTCGCGCGCGCAGCTGCTCTGTGAACGGCGTCTCACCACAGCCGCGGGCGTGAGCAGGCGATCCGCGGGGTGCTCAAGCACGCAGTCATACTTAATGCTCAGTACTGAACCATGAATCACAGGCGATCCGCGGGCTGCTGATGCACCTCCTCGGCATCCCTTCGGGGCGGATCGCCGAGATCGAGATCCCGACCGGCCTGGCCGCTCCGCCCGGACGGAAGGGAGGCGCGGACGGCGCCTCTTCACGGCTGCGGGTGTGAACAGGCCTCCCGCTCCTCTTCGACCCCGAGAGCTGCCGGCAGCCGCCGGGCGAGGCGTGCCGGACCGCACACCTCTTCTTGTCGACCGACGGCCGTGCCCCTCCCAGGCTCTCGCTGCTCGAGGGCTCCGTCGACGCGCACAACTTCGGAAAGGGCGGCGCCGAGCTGCTCTTCGGCTGCATCCCCGCCGACGAGGACGCGCCGCCGCCGCAGCCGCGCCGCCGCCGCCGCTGGCGCAGGCGAGCGCAGGCGCTCCGGTGGGGCAGAGATTAGGGTTTGGGTCGAGGGGGGGTTGGGAGATAGAGCTCCGAGCTGCCGGGTTGGTGCCCCCCGTCGCGTGAGGGGGGGGGGCGGATACATGAGTGCTCGACTGAGCTCAGAGGGAGGGACGGTGCTGTGGCGCGGACAGCCGAGGACTACGTAGGTCACGGAGCGGCGATGATTTTTTGAGTGGTGTGGATACACAGAGGTCACAGAGTCTAGGTCTCCGAGTGTCCGAGACTGATTGATGAGTGATGTACGGCTTTACGGAGAGTATACGTAACACTCTCTGTTTGCCAGACTCCAAGCTGCAGAACATGTGCGACTGCTGCGAGCCAGCGCGCCTACGCCGCTCAAGGAGTCAGGCGCGGAGCGCCGCGCGCGGAGCGCGCCCCGAAGAAAATTTTGAGGGTTGAGGAGGGCTAGGTGCGATTTCTATTAAGAGTTGACTCACACGCTAGGAACCACTCGGCCCACCCACAGGCCCAATCTCAAGTGGCGGCGCTCCGCGCCTGTGCAGCGGCGCGCTCCGCGCGTGTCTCTGGGCGCTACATGCGGCCGTCGCCGTGCCCTTCATCAACCGTGCGCTCGAGAACTGGGGCGGGCTCAACTGGGAAGCGACCGCTTTCACCACAACGACAGGTCACATGCACAGAGGGGCGGCATTGGAGCTTCGCTGCAGCGGGGTGTGGTCATGACGCGGAAGAAGGCAGAGACACAACGTCTGCCAGACGCGTGCTACGACGTCAGGCCAGCTTCGAAGCAGCGTGGCCACAACTGACTGCAACAGACTGTCTTCATGTGTCTAGACTCTACCGGTACCGCGGTGCGCTCCGCGCACATAGGTGCCAGCGCGCTCCGCGCGGTATCTAGCCAGCGCGCTCCGCGCGTGTCTGTGTCTAGCGCTAGCGCGCTCCGCGCGTGTGTCCAGCTAGCGCGCTCCGCGCGTGTGTCCGGGTAGCACCAGCGCGCTCCGCGCGCACGATAATCCAGTGCCTACACTTGTAGGCACTGAAAGCTTGTTTCTGCAGCTTGGGCCAGACTCGCCGTTCACCTCCTTGACCTGCCTGGCCAACACTGAACACAAAGAAGAACATCCACGGCACAAGGATTTCTCCTCTTTTTCGCTCGTGTGTCGAGATGTGTATGTGTATGTGTGTGCCGTGGGCTAGAGAGCGTGTGCGCCCACAGTCCGCGCCCTTTTGTCGTGCCAGTGTGGGAGTGTGTGCTAAAAAACATAGAGCAGGCATCTCCGGGAGAAAGATGGGCGACGCACGAACACAGTGGCACACCTGGCACAGCGCGCACCCCGCCAGTGTGCTGAACGAAAGAAAGAAAACAGACAATCCAAATGAGGGATGGGAGGAGGACAGGGTCCCCACCTGCCACCTCATTCCTCATGCCCGCCTGCACGAGCAGGATTTTGGAAGGACGATCAGGGGCACAGGTGGTTCTCCTGCTCCTGACAAGGGACACGATAGGTTTGCAAAGTTGTGCTGTGCGAGGGCTGGCATCAGAAAGAAAGAAAGAAAACACGCAACCCAAGGGAGGGATGGGAGGACGGCACGCCGCCACCAAGGGATTTTAAGGACTGGCATCACCTCACAATTCAGTTTGCTTGTAAAATTCTTTTTCTCGCGATGTCCACCCCGCCGCGCCGCCGCTCGCGCCGCCTCGCCGCCGCTTCCACCGCCGCTCCCTCGCCAAGCACGCCGCCTCCCGCCCGCCTCCTCGACCTCCCCACGGAGCTCCTCGTGCGAGCACTCTCTCGCTGCGGCCCCGTCGACATCGCTCGCGTCGCGGCCGTCTCGCTACTCTTCCACGCCTCGCTCGCGGCCGAGGGTATCCGCTTGTGGGCGCAAGAGCGCGGCTTCGAGCTGCCGGCGAAGCCAGAGGGCGAGGGCTGCGCCGTGCGGTGGCTGTGCTTCGCTGCGTTGCTGCGCGAGTCCAACCCGCCGGCGAGGGCGGCGGCAGGCATGCAGCACAGCGTCTTCATCGACGGCGAGGGGCGGCTCTCGTCGTGCGGCTCGGCAGAGGAGGACGAAGATGACGAGGAAGACGACGAGGAGGAACTTCCAGGCCTTCTCGGCCACGGCGAGGGCGTGACGCGGCTTAACACGCCGACCCGCCTCCGGTCGATGGTGGGCGGCGAGCGCGCCGTGAGCGTGTCGGCTGGCGACTTCCATAGCCTTGCGCTCACCGCCGACGGCGCCGTTTGGAGCTGGGGCGTCGGAGGCTTTGGCCGCTTGGGCCACGGCGACGAGCAGAAGCAGCTGCTTCCCAAGAAGCTCGAGGCCTTTGCTGGCCAGCGAGTCGTCGCTGTGTCGGCAGGCATATACCACAACCTCGCCATCACCGCCGACGGTGCCGTCTGGAGCTGGGGCAATGGACACTTTGGCAGGCTGGGCCACGGCGACCATCGGAACCAGCTGCTGCCCACGAAGGTCGAGGCCTTTGCTGGGCGGCGCGTCGTCGCTGTGTCGGCAGGACACAACCACGGCCTCGCCCTCACCGCCGACGGCGGTGTCTGGAGCTGGGGCGATGGATTGCGAGGCCAGTTGGGCCACGGCAACCAGCAGAGCCAGCTGCTGCCAAAGCAGGTCGAGGCCTTGGCTGGCCAGCGCGTCGTCAACGTGTCGGCTGGAGCCGTGCACAGCCTCGCCATCACCGCCGACGGCGCCGTCTGGAGCTGGGGCTTTGGAGGGCAACGCCAGCTGGGCCACGGCGACGGGCAGCAGCTGCTGCTGCCCAAGAAGGTCGAGGCCTTTGCTGGCCAGCGCGTCGTCGCTGTGTCGACAAGGGGCAGCCACAACCTCGCCCTAACCGCCGACGGCGCTGCTTGGAGCTGGGGCTTTGGAAGGGAAGGCCAGCTTGGCCACGGCGACGAGCAGAGCCAGCTGCTGCCGAAGCAGGTCGAGGCCTTTGCTGGCCGGCGCGTCGTTGCTGTGTCGGCGGGAGCTGCGCGCAGCTTTTCCATCACCGCCGACGGCGCTGCCTTTGCCTGGGGCGAGGGCCAATTTGGCTGCCTGGGCCACGGAGAGGACATGTCGAACCAGCTGCTGCCCAAGAAGATCGAGGTGTGGGCGACGGGACAGTGAGGTGTCCGGAGGCTCTGTACGGCCGGGCGTTTAGTGGCTCAGCTGCTGTGCTGAGTCGGCCAGCCCGCGCGGTGTGGGGCGACGAGCGTTAGCATGCCCATGCGTGCCGGGCCCGGGGAGAGCGATTTGGGACCCACCCCGGCAGTGTCGTGTGTGTGTAATATTGTGATGATTGGTGGCGAGACGTAAACTAGGGGAAAAGAATTCTTAAGATACAAGCCTCTCTCACAGCACACTGGCACGACAAGGGCGCGGACTGGCGCGGACTGGCACACACACAGGCTCACCTAGGGGAAAAGAAAACGAAGCTGGGCCCGCCCCAGGCCCTCTCGCAGCCCAACGTCGCGCCTCTCCTTCCGCCAGCCAAGCTCGCCCGAAAGCTTTTATGGTGCTCGACTCCCTCATCGCCACCTCATCAAAGCTGCAAACGTGGATCAACGAGCGCCTCCGCCGGAAGCGCCCGGGCGGTGAGCCTCCACCGCCCGACGCAATCCCCGCGGCAGACGCGGCGGCTCCGCCGGCAAAGCGCCTGCGCGCCGCAGAGGTTGTGAGGGAGGGCCCTCGGGAGAGCCGCTCCTCGGCGTTCGTCCCCTTCGAGGCGCCCAAGGCGTCGTCCTACCCCAGCGAAGGGCGCGCCAGCCTCGCCGTTGGCCGCGCCAGCCTCGGCGCCAACAGTGAGCGGGCGAGCATCGGCGGGGGCGGCGGAGGAGGGGGCGGAGGCGGAGGCGCTCACTCCGTGGAGGAGGCGCGGCGCGTCGCCGCAGAGATTCGGAGCAAGGGCGCGCAGGCCGCCATGCGGCTGACGGCCAACGCTCTCGCCGAAGCGGCGCAGCTGCGGGAGGAGGTGCTGAGACGCACGCAAGAGACTTGCGCGACACACTCCCTCGTTAATCATTCATTCTTCTCTACTCGTCAGGCCGAGCGCGCGGCAGCACACCGGCAGAGCCGCACCGAGGCCGAGTGCGCGCGGTTGCGGCAGCGTGCGCAGGCGGAGGCGAGCGAGATACGGCGCGAGGCAGAGGCGGAGGCAGCACGGCTGAGGCGCGAACACACCAGCCGCGCCCGTTTCCACAGCTCATCACACCAGTCGCGCCCGCCTCGACAGCTCGCCACACCAGCCGCGCCCGCCTCCCCCCACTGCTCGCCCGCGGAAGAAAGAAGGCTGCCGGGCGGCGAGGGAGACCGCCCACGAGTAGGCGCGAGGCGGAGAGCCAGGCGCGTCGGCAGGCGCAGCAGCGCCAGTTGCAGGCGCAGCCCCTAGGCCCGCTCCCCGGCTCCGCGGCGGTCGGAGGCGCGGCGCTGCCCGCGCTGCCCGCGCTGCCGGCGGCGCCGACGCCCGCCGCCGCGTGCGCGATCCCACCCGCCGCAGCGGCGGCGGCGGGAGGGGCGGCGGGAGGGGCAGGGCCGCCCGCTCTGTTCGGCTCCTCGTCGGGCGGCGCACCGGCGGCTGCCGCGCCGCCCGCCGCCGCAGCAGAGAGTGAGGCGGCGGCGGCCCCGTTCCTGTTCGGCGGCGCCGCCCCCCTCTCTGGCGGTGCGGCTCCTCCGTCCGCCGCCCAGCCGGCGCCGCTCTTCGGGGGCGCCGCCGCGCTGCCGCCGACAGGGGGCGGCGGCACGGCTGCCTAGATGCCCGGAGGAGGTAGGAATACGGGACCGAGTCGTGCGGCGCGCACTCGAGGGGAGACGTGCTCAGCTGCACTCAGTGAAATGCACTTGCCCCACGGCACTGCACTTGCATGCCACACCCCCTGTGGCTCGTGCCGTCGTCTCCCTCGTAGTCTCCCTCTTCTCCGCCCCGCTCTCGGATAATCTCGGCTCATCTCGGCTCATCTCGGCTCATCTCGGCTCATCATGACCGCAGGCTCCCTCTTCTCCGCCCCCGTCCCGCCGCCGACGCTCCCCGCCGGCGGCACCGGCCCCGCGCCTTGCCATACCTCGCCGCCCCCTCCGCTCTCGCGGAGCCGCCAGTGTTTCTTTTTTATAGGCACCGGCTTCGCGCTCGGTACGCCGCCCGCGCAGGCGCGTGGCCGCCGCCCGCACGCTCCACGCGTCCGCGACACGTCCATGACGCGTCCATGACCCCCCCCCCCACACACAACATTTCCACGACATATGCCCCCTCAAACCTCACGATATGCAAAACGTGGCCGATATACATGCGATATGCCCCCCTCTGACGCCCCCCCTCCCCCTCCCCCCAGGAGCGCCCCGCTGGCGAGCGGCGCATTCGGCGCGCACGGCGGCCTCCGAAGTGAGGCGCTGCAGCTGCGGCTGCAACTTGGCCCATGTCCGTCTCGGCCTTGCGGCTGCGGTTTGGCCCATGTCCCCAAGAGCCAAGTGTCACTGACACTGTGTCAGTTCGCGTCAGTTCGGGCATTGCAACGCCCGTAATTAACCAAAGCCGTATAGAACACGTCTCTGAAGCGTGAAGCTGAAGGGGGTGAAGGCTGTGAAGCCTGAAGCCCGCGCTGTGATGGAGACAGGGTGTTCGGTGCTCCATTCTGTTTCTCTCGAGTTTCCCTCGGGAAACTCTCGCGAGTTTCCGCCCTGAGCCTGACTGACTGAGTCTGAGAGCTGGTCTGGGCAAAATCTGAGGCGAAACCGAGGAAACCGGCAAAATACCTGGGTATTTTACAGGTATACCCGGTACACCGCTGGTACCCCCGGCGCAGGCCAAGATGCCAAAACACTGAGAGGTGCGAGAAATCTATAGACTACACCTACTCCTAGATATGAGAGGATCTCTGCTGACTGTGCCCCGTGTGTGGGTGTGCCCTGAGCGAGGCACACTCGCTACCACGACCCGTAGTTTCTTCTCTTTTTCTGTTGTGGGACCGCTGTGTCACAAGTTTTAGACGTGGACTCCTCGCGTTTCGCCCGGGAAACGCGCTGCGGCCGGTCGGGTGTGGAGGAACCGGTTGAGGCCGCCGGCGAAGAAGAGCGGCGTCCCGCCGCCGGCGGGTGCGCGGCCCTCATCCGCGATGTCCCAAAACATGAGCCCACGCGGTCGCACCGGCAGCGCGGCCCACGCGCGCCCCACCTCCGCGGGAGGCAGGAAGAGCGCCTTGCCTCCCTCCCCCGCCCAGCCGTTGGCGAGCCCGAGCAGGAGCCTGTCGGCCGGCACGGCCACGCTCCGGTTCCGCAAGCCTAGAGAAAAAGAAGTACGTGGCGCCAAAGAAGCACACGGCCGCGCTCCGGCTCCGCAGGCCAAGGGATGGCTCGCGGTCGAAGCCGACGCGCCAGCCGCGGCGCATCTCGCCCACCTACGGAGAGTACACCAAAGTTGGGATGTGAAGCGCCGCGGGAACACACGGGCCAGGAAAACGATGAACACAAATGAATACAGCCGAATATGGACGAATACAGCCGAATATGGACGAATACGAGTGTCCTCGCTGCTAGTGCCAGTTGGGACACCTGAACACGCATTCGCTTCTAAGGCTCGCCCACGAGCAAGGCGAGGTAGGTTATAGAAGGTTATAGAAGGTTTAGAAGGTTCTAGGCTCGCCCACGAGCAAGGCGAGGTAGGCGCCGAGCGGGAGGCGGTGCCGCGAGAGCATGCAGCCTGCGCGCGACCTGAATCCAACAGTGAACGTCAAAACAACTGATCTTTCGTCACCGAGGGTGCAGCGTGCGCGCGGCCAAGACTCGTACAGCTGCAGCGAGACGAAGTCGAACGTGTCCGGAGGGGCGAGGGCAAGCAGCGCTGCATACGCGTTCCTGCCGGCGTACGCGAACTCGGCGTGCCAGCAGCGCGCCGGGAGCGCGAGGCTGAGAGAGAACTCGTCGGTCGAGGCGTCGAGGTACGACTGCGGCGGCGCCAGGCTGACGAAGCGGCCGCTCGCCTTTGGCAAGGCATGGTGCGTGCGTGCGTGCGTCGTTTGCGTGCGTGCGTGCGTGCGTGCGTGCGTGCGTGCGTGCGCGTGCGCGTGCTCGCCTTTGCTCGAGCGGAGAGGTCAGCGACGAGGCGGAGCCCGGCGGCGGAGAAGCGGCTGCGCGGCGACGACCTGGCGTACGCGATGCGACACGCACTCGGCACACGCACTCGGCGCAGCTACGGCTTGGGTCGAGTCCCGGAGAGGCGGCAAACTGTCCCTTCCTCTCTCCCTCTCCCTCTCCCTCTCCCTCTCCCTCTCCCTCTCCCTCTCCTTCTCCCTCTCCTTCTCCCTCTCCCTCTGCCTCCCTCCCTCTCTCCCTCTCGCTCTCGCTGTCCTTCTCTTTCTCTCTCTCATTCCCTCCCCCCCCCCCTCTCTCTCGTCCTCGCCTGTCGTCGTTGCCCTCCAGGTCCCAGTCCAAGCCGTCGAAGCCTCCACGCAGGCCCGCACGCTCGGCCGACTCGTCCCACGAAGTCAGCGCGGCCCACCATGCCTCCAGTGGCACCGCGGGGTCGGGATGAGGTGCATCCCACCCGCCGACAGATATGAAATGGTGCGTCGGCAGCCCTCCCGCCCCGAGCCGAGCGGCAGTATCGGCGACGCACGTCAGGTTTGGGCCGCCCGAGACGACCGGCTTGCCGCCCGGCGCCACAGTGAGCTCGATAGCGAACCAGATGATGACGTTGACGCCAGTGCGAGCCGCAAGTTCGACCTTGCCATCGCACTCACCCCAGTTGGCGTAGCCGGCGCTGATGACTGAAGGGAGAGGCCGCCGTGGTGGTCTGCGCGGTGGTCCGCGCGGAGGCATGCCGGTCGGTTATGACAACACTTTCCGCCGGCGAGGGGCAGGAGGCGAAAAGAATTTAAAGACGGACTCTGTCACAGCACACAGGCTCGACACAGGTGCGAACTGGCGCGTGCTAGTACTATCACCGGCACACCACCGAAAAAGGCGAAAAGAATTTTACAAGCGTCTCGCAGGCGAAAAGAATGCGAGAGACTGCGAAAAGAGATACGAAGAGGCAGACTCCCCAGGGTGGGCGACGGCTAGCGCATCACACTCCTCTCCTTAAAATCCCTGTGTGGTGGCGGCGTGCCGTTCTCCCATCCCTCCCTTGGGTTGTCTGTTTTCTTAAGATTCTTTCTTTAGAATTTGTCAAGAATTTGCTGTCGCTTGTCAGGAGCAGGAGAACTAGGAGAGCGCAACCAGTAGGAGGCCCGCGCCTGCCCCCGTGCCGCCGGGTGCAACCTGTCCTATACGAGAGAGGAATCCCTGGGAGGGCCCTGTCGTGTGGGTGAACCCTGCCCAGCCCCCCTCCGTGTCGCGATGCGCTCCCCGCTCCCGTTCCCCTGTGTCCCTGATCATCCTTACAAGATCCTGCTCGTGCAGGTGGGGACCCTGTCCTTCTCCCACCCCTAAATAAATAAATAAATAAAACGGACACCTCTACTAGGAGATGGGTAAAAAGGAGGCGAAAAGAATTTTAGAAATTGGCCTCCTCGCAGGCGAAAAGAATTTAAACAAAGGCGAAAAGAATTTGTGCGACGGGATTTTTTCTTGGCGTTACTAACTTAGCCCCGTTACATGCCGGTCCTCCGACAAACACCACCGGCGCAATGAGAATTCTTTTAGCCGCTGCAGTGCTCCTCTCGAAATAGACGAGACGATGCGTGCGTCCGCTTGCGGGTTACATGTAATTTTTTCCGGAACCCCTCTCTCAGCACCGACACCGATGACATTGTGTCACGCAAAAAAGAAATTTTAAGTTGCAACTAGTGCGCAAAGCATCCAGCGATGAGCGATATGCCACGTGCCGTAACCTGGAGACACAGACACATCGCTTATCGGAGGGAGAAAAAAGATTAGGCGTTGTTTCGTTCGGGGGGGGGGGGGGGTGAGCGTGTCGATGGGATTGTACGCTCGTCAGTTGTCGAGGAGTTTCATGAGCCTATGCCGCCCAGCCATCGCGCCGAAGGCGCTTTGCGGCCCTCTCGCCCTCGTAGCCTTCTCGGCCGCCAGCCGCGCACTGCTCGAGCTCATCGAGCAGCGAGTCGATTGACTCGTGCTCCGCACAGAGCTGTTCCATTGTGGCGGGCGTCATCCGGCAGCGCAGCGAGCGGTCGAGGCGCGCGCGCTGCTCATCGCTCACGCTCGCGCTGAAGTAGTGCGCGAGCATCTGCGCGGCCTCTTCGAGCTGCAGATAGCCAAGGAGGAGGCAGCGGTCGATCCGGCCCGGCCGGATGAGGGCGGGGTCGAGGGCCTCCGGGTGGTTCGATGTCATGATGAGCATGCGGCCAGGCGTGTCAACGCACCCGTCGAGCACGTCCAAGAGGCCAGCGAGGTTAAGTATGTCAGGGGTGGGGGGTGGCACCGGTGGCCAGTGGTACCCGGCCGGTGGCATGGTGGGTGGTAGTGGTGGTGGAGGTGCTAGTGACATGTTGAGTGGTGGCAAGCCCGAGCCAGGTGGTGGTGGCACAGGAGGGGGGCCGTACTTTGCAGTGAGCTCCCAGGCGGCCGGTGGCCGAGGGAGGGGGCTTGGCGTGGCGGAGCGGTGGCTCGGGCTCACCGTGGGAGCCGTGCTGGCGGACGACGACGCCTCAGAGGGGCTCCACGATCCCTCCTCCGCGTACGGCCCCTCGAGCTCATGCCGATCAGCGCCGTCACGCCGGTGGACGATGCTCGAGCATGCGTCGATGTCCTCGATCACAAAGATGAGGTCAGAGAAGGTGCGCCGACGCGACGGCTCGCCGCCGATGACGTCGAGGGTGAGGTCGTACATGATGTCGGCGAGCTGCGTGTTTGTCTGCACCTGCGCGAGCGAGACGTTGATGATCGAGCGGCCCGTGTGGTGGGCGAGCGCCTTGATGAGCGAGGTTTTGCCCGTGCCCGGCGGTCCATGGAGCAGGAGGCCCACCTTCTGCGGAAAGCCCGCGACGGCATACTTGCCCGTGCCGCGCTCGAAGTCGGCGAGCAGCCTCAAAAGCGAGTCCTTCTGTGGGAAGAAGAGCGACGAGAAGGTCTTGTGGTCCGAGAGCGCGTGCCGCTTGTAACGGAAGTCGGGCAGCTCGTCATTCGGCCGGCGGCGCTTGAGAGCGTCATTCGACACCATCGAGTACAGCCACCTTCGATGGTCTTTGAGCCGCGCGAGCTCGCGCTTGTACCAGTCGAGCGCGGCGCGAATAAAGGCGTCGATCCGCTCGGCGCCGTCCTGCTCTCCGCACGACAGCTCGAAGATCAGGAACTGGTCGGGCTTGTCGCCCGCCTGCTGCTTCTGGGCGGCCGTCTGCTCTAGCTGCTTGAATTGGCGAAAGGAGATCGACTCACCCACATTCACCCACTCTTTCTCCTCCGCAATCCACGTGAGGCGCTGATTCTGCATCGGGTCCTCGTCACGGCCACGACCTCGCGAGTGGCTGGGTGTGTCCATTGCAGTGAGCTGCACCTGCGCGTTGGGCGGGACGACCTGCAGGTGTTGCGTGAGGTACAGCTTGATCGCCTTTTGCAAGAGGTGGTTGTGCTGATCTTGACCCCAGCCCTTGGTCACGCAGGAGATCGTGCGAGTGGCAGCCCTGTGCAAGAGCAGCTGCCGTTTGGGAAGGAAGTAATCTTTGAGTCGCTTCAAGGTCTCCGCATCGAATACGGTGCGAAGGACCGCTGGCACCGTCATTGCCACGCCCAGGTCGATGATGATGTTGCCTGTGCGTAGCGCGTTGATCGCCGAAAACTCTGCGCCGAAGGAGCCCATCGTGCGTTCGTGTTTGCTTGCCCCTTTGGTTCGCGTTTGCTTGCTTTCTGTGCGTGGGCGGCCAGGACTCGTCTAAGGAGGAGTCCTTTCATTGGACCAGGCCAAGCACCCGTGTTGGGCGGGCGATCGGTGTGGAACGGGCCCAAAAAGCGCATTTGACTATCCAGCTATTTTGAACTTGCTGTTGCTCGCTCCGATGTAGAGCCGTATGACGAGCTTCTCTCGTTTTGTTTGTTTGCTGGAGTGCGATGCGATGGGAGAAACACACGAGAAAGTTTGGCAGAAAGCAAAGACTTCGAACGAGACCTCTTTTCTACGGGGTGTGGACCCTGAGTTGACCAGGGGTTGTGCGCCGGGCCCTCCTGCTCGCGGCTCCAGCCAAGCGCTGGTAGGGTGGTTTAACCTCACACCCATGGTCTCACAGTGTGCCGGCAGTCGCCGAGCAGTGTCGCTCACACAAGCCGCAGCACAAGTGACTGAGGGCCAGTGAGGGCGAGCCCATCGCTGTCACAGGCCGCACGGTAGGCTGTGCCAACTGTGCAGAGCGTGTGAGCAGCAGAGGAGCTGCTCTCCAGGCTTCTGTCGCAAAGAGCTGCATGCCACCCGAAGGCGCTGCACGAGGTTCGCGCCGAGCGCGGCGAAATCGGGGGACGCCGCCACCGACGAGCGCGTTGGACTTTTCACTCCGGACAAAAAACGCGGCACAGCGGACGGTGCGGGGCGTGCCGCAAACTTAGGTCTTAGCGGCGAGGGGCGCGGGACCGTCGAGTCGGTCTGTGGCGAAGTAGGTCGCGTCCCCCGATTTCCTCAACTCACGGTCCACCCCTTCATAGAAGCTCTGAAGAGCGCTCAAGTTAAAGCTCTCTCTCCGTCTCTCTCTCTCTCTCTCCTCTCCAAACAAACCGCCGTGCGCCGAAGCAGCGGACACACCGACGGCCCCGGCCGCACAAGCGCAGCCAGGAACACACTCAGACCCGAATATATGCGAGACCGTTGACACGTTCTACAGTGAGAGTATAACCACGCATCCGAGTGGGGCGCAACTCGATCCGTTGAGCAACCCATGCTGCCGCCCCTATCCTAGGCCCGCTCTGGGGAGGCCAGGCGCTGTTGCCTGCCCGCTCAGCCCGCCTGCGCCGCCGGCACCTGCGAGAGCGGTGGCGGTGCCGGCGCCGGGCGCCACGGGCGGGGGCGCCTCCTCCGGAGCCAGACCTCCACATCCTCTATCCTCTGCCTCTGCCTCTCCTCTGCTGCTGCTGCTGCTGCTGCTGCTGCCCCATGCGCGCGCACGACAATCGTCATGCGCGCGAGCGGCTGGTGGGGGGGGCCCACCAGCCCTGCGCCGCTAGTTCGCGCCAGCCTTGCCGCGGGCGGCGCCGGCGCCCCCGCGGCCGGTCTGCGCGCGGCGCTTGTCTGCGCCGCCGCCGGCGGGCGCCTTGCCTTGCTCGTACAGGTGGTCGTTGAGGTGGTAGCCCGACTTGTGCTGCGTCGACTGGCAGATGCCGCACGGCTTCGGGCAGTCGCGCGACTCGTGCCCGAACTCGTCGCAGTTGAAGCACTTCGACGTCTTGACCGTCGTGCGCGCGCGGTAGTGGTACCCGATCCTGTGCTTGTCGGAGCCGCACTCGCGGCAAGGCTTCGGGCAGTCGCGGCTCTCGTGCGAGGGGTCGTCACAGTTGTGGCAGGCGCCCGGCCCGCGCTTGGCCGGCGTCGGCTCAACCTTGCGCCCGCCCGCGCTCGTCTGCCGGCTCGCCGCGGGCGCGCGCCCCGCGCCCCCCGCCGCCGCGACCCCGCCGCTCGGCGTGCGCGAAGGCTCGGTGATGCCGCCCCGCGCGGCGCACCGCGTCGCCATGTTTGCCCACGTGCCGCCCGCCTCGGCCGCGCCGCCGCCAAAGGCGGGCTCGCGCGTGTTTTGGTACAGCGCGAGGGCCGGCTGGTAGCGCGACGAGTGGCACCTGCGGCCGCAATGGGAGGCGGCGTGAGAGCGCGTGGCGGCTCTCGAGGCGCACAAGCCGCGTCTCGGCGAATCTCGGCGGAATCTCGGCGGAATCTCGGCGAATCTCGGCGTGCGCGCTTGAAGCGGACGTCGAGCCACGACTCGCCGACCACCGTCACCGCCGTGTCGTCGAACTGGCGCCACGTGCCGCTCTCCTCGTCGCGCACGATCGCGCAGTAGTGAGACGCCTGGTAGCACACGAGCCCGACGAGCTGCGCCGGGGCGGAGGCGCCGTCGGGCGCGCCGATCACCTGCTCACAGCTCGCCGGTGTGAAGAGACGCCGCCCGCAGCTGCGCCGCGCCGGGCCACAGCTTCTATGGTTCCTTGGCGAGGTCGAGCCGCTCGTCGATGAGGTCGAGCATGTGTGAGAGCTGCTCCTTGGGCGGGCGCGACGAGGCCCAGACCAGGCCAAGCGTGAGGACCGACGGCGGGCTCTGCCCCGTCTTGCGGTTGCCGACCGCGCTATCGGAGGTGACGAGGCGCAGCGCGGACTCGAAGGGGACGCGCCTGCGCCATGCACACACAGCAGTCAGGGCAAGAGGAAGAGGGAGGGAGAGAGTGAAGGAGTGAGAGAAGGAGAGGGAGCAGGAGATGTAAGGATTCCGCATCTTGGGCGACGCGCTGCAAGTTCGCAGTGGTGATGATGTCGTCCACGTTTGCGTAGAGCACAAACTGCGGGTACGACCCGCCCACCGAGTCGTGCATGTCGTACTCGAACTGGCCGACGGCGCGGCCGGCGCCGCAGTCGCGCAGCCGCTCGAGGAGCGCCTCGAACGCCTCCGCCGCGTCGGCCATGTCGCCAAGCCGGAAGCGCGCGCCGGCGTCGGTGGCGGAGAGGGCGACGCGGAGCGACTCGACCGACACGGGCTGCGGCGACGCGCCCGCGGCGCCGTTGGCGGCGGTGAGGCCGGCAAAGGTCTCCTGCAGCGCGCAGAGGATCGTGTCGTCGCCCTCGGACGCCATCACCGCGTCGCGGAAGTCGCGCACGTGCCAGAGCGCCTGCACGACCACGCTGAGGAAGCAGTTGAACTCGCCGCGCGGGTTGAGGATCCCGGCGGCGCCGCCCTTGCCCCGCTCCTGCTCGCGCATCACGCTCGCGAGCGAGACAGGCTGCGGCCGCGCCGCGCTCGGGTTTGGAAGCTCGGACGCCTCCGCGCCCGGCGCGCCGCCGCAGCCGTTCGCGCTCGGCCGGCTCGACGACATCGTGAAGGGCTCGACCGCGCCGGCGCGGCCGTCGGCGGTCTGCCAGCGCTGCTGCTGTAAGTCGACGTACAAGCCGCACTGGCTCTTGACCTCTGCGATCAACTGCTCCGCCTGGTCGCGCTGCCCCGCGCGCACGAGGGTGACGATGTGCTCGACCACAACCTGGACCTTGTCGTCGGGCAGCTGCGTGGCCGGCGGCGCCTCCGCGGCGGCCGCCGCGCCGCCGTTGCCGCTGTCGAGCGAGAACGGGTCGACGGAGCCCGAGCGGCCGTCTGCGGACGCCCAGCGGCGCTGCTGCAGGTCGATTCGCAGCCCGTGCTCCGCCGCCTGCTCGATGAGGTCGCCGGCCTGCTGCCGCTGGTTCGCGCGCACGAGGGTGGCGACGTGCTCGACGATCTTCTTCACATTCTCGTCGGTCAGGGCGGCCTGCGCCGCCGCGCCGCTCTCCCTCGCGACGCCGTTGGCGGGCCCGGAGCTACCGTTGGTCTCGGCGCCGTGGGAGAGCGTGAAGGGCTCCATCGCGCCGGCGCGGCCGTCGGCGGTGTGCCAGCGCTGCTGCTGCAGCTCAACGTACAGGCCGAGCTGCTTGACCTCCCCGGTGAGCGCCTCGGCCTCGCCAATCTCGCCCTGCCGCACGAGGGCGACGATGTGCTCGACGACGGTGCGCACCTGCCCGTCGTCGACCCGCGGCTTCGGCTTCACCACCGTCACCAGCAGCAGCCGCGCGAAGGACACCTCCGCGTGCGTGGAGACGTTTGTGAGCGACGTCATCAGCTCCTCGCGGATCGTGAGCTCGAACTCTTGCCGCAGCAAGTCGACCGCCTGGCCGCACCGTCTCGGGTGATCTCGGGTCATCTCGGGCGATCTCGGGTCATCTCGTCTCGTCCCTTGTGATCTCGTGTCTTCCCGGGTCGCGCCTGCTGCCGCTCCTCGAGCGCCTTGAAGGGGGTGAAGAGCGCGTCGCCCCCGCTGCTGCCCGCCTCAGCGCTCACCGGATGCGAGGTGGGGAAGAATGCGGCGTACCGCTCGACCGCGGCGGTTCCGAGCTTGTCCGCGTTGCAAACCACAAGGGCGCACGCCTGCGCGCCGTGCTCCAGCAGCTGCGCGAACCGCTCGATGCGCGGCCCCGGCTCCGCCGCCGCCGGAGGCGCGGCGCCCTCCGCCGCCTCCTCCCCCGCGGCGTTGGCGCTCGTCTCGGTCTGAGAGAAGAGCCAGTCTGCGGCGCGGTCGATGTCGTCCCCGTGTAGCTGGAGCGCCTTCTCGCACTGCCGCGCCGACGAGTGCGTGATCTCGCGCAGCTTCTTGGCCAGCTCGCGCCGCTCCTTCTCGCTGAGAGCCCTCTTCTTGCGGTCGGTGCCGGGCGACGCAGCCGCGTCGTTGCCGGCACCGCCCCCCACCGAGGAGACTGCCGCGGCGGGTGCGCTCGCCGCCTCCTCCGACGCGCCGCCGTCCACGCCCCGCCCCTTGGAGCCGCGCCGCGACGCCGGCTCCACCGCGAACGGCTCGATCGTGCCGCAGCGCCCGTCCGACGACTCCCACCGGTTCCTCTTGTCGTCGACAGAGAGGCCCTGCTGGTTGAGCTGGTCGCGCAGCCGGTCGGCGGCCTGACAAGACGCGGTGGCCGGGGGGGCGGCTGTAGGGCGGACGTCCCTGCGCGCTGGTGCGAGGCAAGGGCCAAAACTCTCTCCCCGGCCACTTCAATACGAGGGGACGAGGGAGGGGGGAGCAGCGGCGCGCGCCTTGTAGTCGTGCCGCAGCCGCGCCGCCTGCCGCGCAGCGAGGATCTTGCCAACCTCCTCGTCGCCGAGGTTGGAGACGATGATGGCGCCCGAAGAGCCGTCCTGCGCGTGCCACTTCTTCTCCTTCGAGTCGAGGTAGATGCCGTGCTTCTCCAGCTGGTCGCGCAGCACGTCGGCCGTCTTGTAGTCGCGCCGCGCGCGCGCCTGCTCGCGCTGCACCAAAATGCGCTGCACCTCGTCATCGGACAGCCGCGGCGCGCCCGCGCGCGCCGCCTTCTGCGCGTGCGCCGCCGAGATGTTGACGGGGCCAATCGGGCCGGAGCGGCCGTCCGCCGCCTGCCACTTGTTGTCCTTAGCGTCCAGGTGCACGCCGTGCTTCTCGAGCTGGTCGCGCAGCTTGTCCGCCGTCTTGTAGTCGCCGGTGGCGCGCGCCTGCTCGCGCTCGCGCACCAGCCGCACGATCTCCTCGTCGGAGAGGGTCGTCGCGCCCGCCGCGCGCGCCGCCTTCTGCGCGTGCATTTCCGACACGTTGACGGGCGGGATGGAGCCGCTGCGCCCATCCGAGGCGCGCCACGTGCGGCTCTGTGGAGAGGGAGGGGAGGGGAGGGGAGCGGACGGTGAGGAGGAAGGGGCAAGGCAAGGCAAGAGGACGAAGGGGCGCGCAGGGGCGAGGGGCGGCGAGGGGCGGCGAGGGGCGGCGCGGGGCGGCGCGGGGCGGGCGAGACACTGTGTGAGGGAGAGTGTGGGAGAGAGCCGGGGGCACCTGGTCGTCCAGAGAAATGCCGAGCTTGGCCAGCTGCTCGCGGAGTCGGTCCGCCTGGTCAAATTCGCGCGAGAAGCGCGCCTGCTCGCGCCGCATCAGCAGCCCCTTGACCTGCTCATCGGACGTGCCCGACGAGCGCTGCTTGGTCATCGGCGCGGCCACCGGCGGCTTTGGCGACGGCGGCGCTCCTGTCTCTGCGGGCGCCTTGCGCACCACCGACGCCCAACCCGACGGCTTCTCCGCTGCCGCGGCCGCCGCCTCGGCGCCGGTCGCGGCGCTGCGGACGGGTGGCGGCTCGGGGAGCTGCGGCGTCGGCTGCTGCGGCTGCGGCTGCGGCTGCAGCGGCGGGGTTGGCGATGGCGGTTGGGGCTGGGACGGCAGCAACCCGGGCAAGAGCTGCTGCTGCTGCTGCTGCTGCTGCTGCTGCTGCTGCTGCTGCTGCTGCTGCTGCTGCTGCTGCTGCTGCTGCTGCTGCTGCTGCTGCTGCTGCTGCTGCTGCTGCTGCTGCTGCTGCTGCTGCTGCTGCTGTTGCTGCTGCTGCTGCTGCTGCTGCTGTTGCTGCTGCTGGTCGAGCGCGCAACGGGCGACGAGCCTCGTCAGCTGCTCGATGCCCCGGCGCGAGGCTGCCATGCTCTGCTTCTTGCGCTTGAGCTGCGTCCAGAGCGTCCACAGCACTTTGAGCAGGTCGGCGAAGCAGCTCATAAAAGGCATGATCCACTCGCGCACCGCGAACTGCTGGTTGCTCGCCAGCCCGTTGGCCACGAGGATCGCCTTGCCCTGCGACGGGTTCTGCTCGAGCACCGCCTTGATCTGTTTGCCATCCTGGAAGTACTTGACGACCTTTTGGCACAGCTGCGTGAGCACGCCCTGCTCTTGCTCGCTGAGCGGGCACGACGCGGGAAACCGGCCGATGAGGTGCGTGTAGATCTCCTCGAGCCGCGAAAAGGCCTGCGAGGCGCGGCGGGCGTGCGTCAGGGTGGGCGGG